TCCTGGAGTACACTGATTGTAATAAGTTGTTATTTACATTTCCATGTTTAATGAGTTCATTATGCAGACGATCACAAATGTATAGCAAATAATGTGTGTCTTCTCTGGCATAATGCACCATCTCTGAAGGCAGAGGTCTGTGAAATAAACAAACTTGATAATTAAAATAATCTAAATGCCTAAATGGAATGATCATTGTTACTATATTGTGATTTTGGCCATCAAATTTTAACATTATGAAAAACTAATTAAAATTAAATAACATAACCATGAATGATCTGGACTCAGCTCTTTTTTTCACTTTTCATTTGTCTTGTACTTGTCTAAATTTTGAGCTGCAAAAAACAAAGGTTACACAACAAAACCACTAATAACCTTATCCTCCAATCCGCCAGTTGATATTGTTTATTTGCTGTGACATCACAGAACTTTTTCAGCAGGAAAGCCAAGGAGTACTTCCCATAGTTTAGCACCCTAGCAGCCTGGCCTGTGTCAAACATATTGACAACATAAATACCAAAATCTCGCTGTAGCCATCCAATATCCATATCAGCTCCATGAAAAACCTGCAGGAAATAGAAATAGTCAAACCTCAAGTAACTAACAAATAGCAAATTCTATGGCATAACACGAAACCTGCACACTAGATTCACACAGAAGATTCAGATGAAGTGGTTTTCTGCCTTACTGGCTTGCTACAATTATAGAGGGTACATTTAAATTTTTACCTTAAGTATGCCAGGACTGGTAAAATAGTCATTGAGGATTTGAAGCTCACTGCGCAGCTCCAGTGTGTCAATAAGAAAATCTTGGTGTCGTGTGGATATCTGCATCAAGCAACAAAATCCCTGGAAAGATCTGTAGGAATGAGCCTACAGAGCAAAAACATACAAGGTGATATGAACACAATGCCAACATATTTGAACCACCACAGATCAAGATAAAAAGAAACAGCAAGCTATTTACCCATTTAAAGTCAGGAATGTGCGATTTTAATAAAACCAAGAACTGATATTTTCTTGAATGCATTTTGTTTTGAAAAATTCACCCAAAATAATGTAAATTATACAGGGTGACATGTAAGCAATGGTAAAATTTTTTTTGTTACTTTGCCAAGAATTCAGGCTTTATTCTTCAAAGATCACATTCATTGGCAAAAAAAGATAGATGTTCAGTGGCAAGAGTATACCTGTTTTATCAGAAGCCAGTAACCATTATGCTATCACATACTGACTAAATACATGTATTATTATTCACTTCTAGGAAACATAATGAGCAACTTACCTCTAGATCCACTGCAAACTCTGTCACAGTTGCAAGATGCTGGCAAAGCTCATGAAGCTGTTCTGTTGTTTCTATCAAAGTGAATGGAGTTTTCTCAAGTTCATCATACAGCTGGCAACAGAACAAAAACAAAACAAAACATAAATAAGGTCAATTTCTTTGCTTTCACAGGTCAGAATAATCTACAAGTGTTTTAATCTACTGTGAATCATTTTAATAAAACCTAAATTGAAAACCACAAAAAGTACATCTGGAGGGATATAGCTAAGCACTAGCTAGCTGTTGATGACTTTTGCAAGCTCAGAAATAACCAATCTTCAGCTTACTATTGATCACTAACAGTGGATAAAGAAATATTGAACAAGTCTTCGGTTTTCATAATTCAAGTCTTTCACAACAGTTAAATTCACTATATGTAAGTGCACTGTGATTTCAACAGAAGCATTCTAGAAAAATGTAGACTATCTAGTTACACAGATCTAAAAAAAGGTAATTGGAAGTGAAATAAGTACCCTTAAGCTTAAAATCACTTGTCTAATCTCCAATTCTTTAATGTTTATTTTGTAAACACTATGTATCATTCTGTACATTTGAGCTAACCTCCTCTTTATGCTGCATCAGCTGATTTTCTGGAGGTTGAAACACTTCCAGTTCATATTGGTATGGATGGGCTGTACTGAAATCCACACAAAAGACAACAATAATGATTAAACATTTGCATGCTAATGTAGTTTTGTTAACAAATTTAGGGCTTATAGCAGATGGGTCCAAGAAGAAGTCACAGAGAACCAAAACAGAGTGCAACGAAGAAAAAAAGGTGGAAAACTTGGCACTGACATTCTATAATGATCACCTGTTTGCAGAAGAGCTGCTTATTCCTTTTACTCTCTCCTGATGCACAAAATCAGAAATAGCTGATGGTACTTGTGCATCTCCAGGTAGATGCCTACTGCTGCTTGTCTCATCTAAAAAGCACCATACACAAATCAGTCTCATTCCCCAGAGTTGACATATTTAAATCAATTTTCATCTCTCCTAGTTCTTGGTTTACTAGTTTACCATATACAATTAAATTTATTCTGCATTGAATACAAGACTAGTGTTCCTTCCATTTCTGACAAGAATGGGGCCAAATCTGTAATATGTGGTTTGTATTTATTACACTGACTCTACATAAAAGGCACTGATATTTTCCTGCATGTGATGAAATGATTTTAGTATTTCATTCAACATACCAACTTCAAGGGGCCTTAAAGCATTAGGTTTTCTCTTGATGATTGGAATGAAAGGAGTGTTGCTGTTGTCAATCTTGTCTTTAAATTTCAGTTGTGGTCTCTGAATGTGTTTAGCCATGAGAAAACGGAAGTTGGTATCTTTCTTCCCAGGGATGTCTTTCTGTAAGTTGATAACACACACAAAAAAAACATCTTTGATATAATAATGCAGTTAGTTAATTTTACATGAGATGTACTTATTTTTAAAACATGTATAAGGTTGTATTGATTTTAAGTATCATATACACCAGCATATAAGCTGCACATACAAATAAGCCGCACCTCAAGTTTGGCACCTACTGTAATATTTTGGAAAAAAGTTTTTGAAAAGAAATCAAAAGAAAACACATTTGGAGTCTTGAGAAAGTTGCCATATTTTGGTTGCTTTATTGGTCCTAATCTATTATTTTAGAAGCTGTAGTATGGAAATCATATGTAGACTCTGACTTAGACATATGTTTGATCTCACTCTGGTTTATTTGTTCACTCAGTATTTTTTTCAATCCTATCAGATTTTCAAAAATGTTTTAAATAAACAACAGGAAATATTCTGTTCATTCATTGGTAATTCTAGCTTAGTAACCAGCCAATTGATACAGACTTAAAAATAAATTTGCGATGAATAGAGTTAATTGATAAAAATTTTCCATAAGTTTTCCAGATGTTCTTGAAGATATGTCACACCCCTATTTGTTACAACACATTCTGGAAAAATGGTGCCACTTTTAGTTTACCGTTATTAAATTATACATATGTCATAGACGTTTAGTGAATCTATACTTTTCCCATTCATTTGAAAGTTATTGTGTGTTTACACTGTACCTTAGCTCTGTTCCAACTTGACACAATTGGTGTTCCTTGTTGCCCAGGAGCTCCAGCAACTGTCTGGTTTGTTTTGTCTGATTTCAGGCCTGCAGCCTCATCGAGGTTTGTGTCCTTATGAGACAAATATTTTTATTAATAAAGATGAGTCTCCAACCAAGAAGCAGTGATAATAATCTTCAGAAACTCACCACTCTTTCCAGAAGAACGTCATTGGCTTCTACAAGACTGTCAATCAGCTCATCGCTATCTGGATCAATAGCATGAGTATCTGAGGGCCACTGACAATGAACCTTCCAATGATGCAACAGATTTCCAATGCTGTGAAAACAGTCAGACATTAATGCCTCTTTGGTTCTATCAAATGTCATAAGCTTAACACAATAAAAATCATTAATCATTATTGAGATACAGGGAATAAGAAAATAATGACTCTTAACAGAAGAAAACTCACTAATCATATAAATGACCTAAACAGAACAAATGAAAAGCATCCATTCCAACAGAAGGTAACTACAAGTACCTCTGCTACTGTAACTTAATGGTGGTAAATGTTACATGAATTCTATAATTCACCAGTTGCATTAAACAGTAGAAGTCACTTACTTGCTAAGCAGCCTTGCTCCTTGAGCTGATCTAAATTCCCTGAAATCTGGAAAACTGTAGTAAAAGTCATGATCTTCTCCTGCCCCAGGCAAGTTGCCAGATTCCCTTACAGCTTGGACAATAGCAGCTAAGGATTCCTAAGGAGGACAGCAAGCAGATTATTATTGGTCTATCCTTTATCCTTTTACAATCAGTCAATCCCTCAAAAAAATGTAACAATCTACAAGCAAGACAAGCAAGTAACATTTCATGACTTGCTCCTTACTAGTGGCAAAAGTACTCGGACCCTGATTTGCTTAATAACTGATCTAGGTTGCAAATTGCCCTCCCCCCTAGAACAAAGTCAAACTCCAGCGCTTGAATTCGATAAACAAACATCAACATTGTCCTAGGGGTCTACTCTGATCCAAGTGTACACCATGTAATCATCAAGCCAGCAAAGTGAGTTTGAAATTCTAGCTCTTAAAAATAGGTTGGCTGTGAGATAGCCATCTAATCCGAAGTTGCTTACTTAAGCTTGCGGAAGGGCCTGTTAGGGAGATATCACGGTCGATCTTGACCAAAGAACTGTTTATCAAGACAATTTTTTAGACCTAGCCAGAATTCCTTGTCGTATTCCAAGCTTTTATAGATGCAATGAGGAATGTAACATACCCTCAGCGTTTTTTGAGGATCAAAATAGATATGTGATAGAATTATTATCGACAAGCATGTGATGATAAACTCTCGAAATTGAAGGCTGCACAAATCAGAATTTCCTTGTCGCATTCATGCAAAGCTGGCTCCCTTTCGTCTAAGAAGAATTAAATTATATAAAAATTAAGCAGTAACATCTATAAATACCTGAGAAAACGATTTCAGATCTCCTATTCCGGGCAAAACACTCTCTGCATCGTCTTCTTCCATGTGGTCAGCCATCTTGTAATCCCAAAAACTGAGAAGGTCTGGGTGACGGAAGTGGAAATCCCATGACTCTTAGTGATCGATTCCTAGTGCCAGTACTTCCGGGTGGGTATGAAAACAAACATGGCGGTCAAATTGGATGATGTTTCTTCTCCTCAACTCGCGCTTAAATTTTCAAGTTCTTCCTTCGATCCTGATAAATGTAAGTATTGCATGAAAGCTAATTAGGCGATAACCACCCTTTGTTTCTTCCAAATTATCATTTTTCGTTTTGATGTACCTGTAGTTGACTATCTTATCATGATACAGAGCTCTAGGTGGACTGCACCTTCCATCCTAATTTTTTTTGCTTCAGATGTCAGGGATCTGTCTGCGAAGTGTGACACTGATGCTGAACTTCAGGATCATCGAAAGCGTATTCAGACTTTAAGCGAAGAAACTGCGGTTAGCTTGAAGAAAAATGTTTATAAGAACTACATGCAGTTCATCGAAACATCAAAGGAAATATCATGTATCCTTTAGCTTTTAATCAGGCGAGGGTGTGTGTGCTCAGTGATGGGGGATGCCGAAAGAGTACAATCGAGATTGTAAGATTAAAGATGCAAACAGAAAACTAACTTCGTGTGCTTGTTTATCGGTATCCTTAATATACCACTCTTTCGAAGGATTTTTCAAGACCAATGCGAACAGAACGTCCTGCAGGATGTTGTACATGTGGATTTGGATTAGTTACGATTCGTAATAAATGTCAATGATGCAGATTCCATAACATAATCTATTAGATCTAGAAGCAGAAATGTATCAGTTGGGACATTTTTTGGCGGAGCAAAAAGCGATACTCAGCAGTCAGGAAGACATGTCTTTATTTGGAACACAAGGTAATATGTATATACCAAAGAAATTGGAAATACTCACAACGTAAGAACTACGTTGAGTAGCCAAATCTCTGTATAGCTCTCTGTCTATTTTGTCATTAAAGCTCTTGAGCTTGGATCTAATAATTCAGTTAATATTACGAATCACAACAGGTTAAAATATCTTTTAAAATAGGAAAGTGGTGATATTCACTAATTCATGTACAAGGCATGTTTGAGAACAACCAAACATAAAAAGTTTTATGTTTGATCCACATGTTGATCCACAGGCATGTTTTAATTGTTTAAGTATCTACTTCCTTATCTGAAAGAAGATGGAACTAACTGATGGGTGTATTTGCCCCCTGTTACCTTATCCCATCCTTCACTCCCCTTAGCATTTTGTAAAGTCTTATTTTAGTCAATACTCTTCAGAAAGAGTACATATTTCTGGCCAAAAAAACACTCTTAGTGGTCTGTGAAATTTTGTTTTACAGTGTAAATAATTATTTATAAGTACCATTATAAGTTTTATAATATATTACCCAATTAACAATTTTAATAATTGCACAATTTTTTTTTTGTAAAAACTATTGCTGTTCTTTAATTTAGATCCTAATTCTTCAATGAAACCCTCAAAGAAAGATGAAAAAGGCAGCAGCTCAATAGAATCAGTAGAGGGTCTGGCTGTAAGTTATATTTATATGTTTGAAATGAATATTGTTAAAAATGAAATTAACTAGGAATGAAATAGATGGTCAATTAATTTTACGATTTAAATTTACAGAGTGTCCTAGATATCACTGATGTGAACTGTGTTTTTGAGGGAGACCTGGTTGAGGTGGATCCAGAAACATTTCTTCCAAAATCTAAAATTCATGCCTTCCTGTTACATGACATTATGGTGGTCGCAAACATCATTCAAAACAGGTACTGTCAACAGCAGTTGTATTGATCCATGGTTCACTGGTGATGATGTTAAGTTTACAATTGAACTAAAGAGACATAAAGAAAAGTTATGAAAGTGATCTGATCTTTTCCTAGGTCAGTTTTCTGTGAAATCTGAGAATTCATATACAGTTTTTATCCTTAAACTGATCTCAAATGAAACTTAACCTGTCTCAACTTGTTTGTTAGTTAGTCTGAGTCTATATTTGGAATTAATCTTAATACCATGGTATTGATACAGACTTGCCCAGGGTTATTAGTAACTATTGATTGTCTCCAATATTTTCGCTTTTCTAAGGCGTGGTCCAGTTCGTTTTAAGTTCCAAAGCCTGTTTGAACTAGAAAATGTTGCAGTGGTGAATATGACAAGTGCTGATGGTATGTATATTGTTGGGCAATCACCTTGACCTCACCCTCTTCAGTTTCTTTATTTTGTGACTCATTTTTAACCAATAACAGGCTAGAAAAGAAGGTAAATAGCTAATACATTATGAGGTTACTTGTATATAATTTTTTAGTGAGCTCTAATCTAACTGAAGTTGGTGGTAAGGTCTTGAATAGCACACAGTACCGTGGTGAGAACTGTGCCTGTGTTCTGGATCAATTTATATATCCTAGTGAGATTGTTAGCCATAATACAGGGACTAATTACAACTAACAGCATTATGCTTAGTATTTGATTGTATAATCAGTGCAAGGTCTCAGACTATTCATCTCTAATAATAAGAGCATCTGACAATAAGCTGGACAATAAACAGATTTTTAGGTTTACATCTAATGCATGTTGGTGGTTATGTTACAAATTTATAATGAGTCATTGGTTTTGATGCACATCTCAGGTTTGAAGGATGCTTTCAAGGTTTTTCTGTTCCCAGAAACTCATGTGTATCAAGCTGAAAATAAAACAACCAAGGTGAGGAGAAGAAAAATGAACTATCAGTAATATACATGTATACAGTAATAATATCATTATTATCTCCTGACCCACAAGGCCCTGCTTACATAATCCCATCAACAAAACATGGGAATAAAAAATTGATATGAGCAGAGTGGGATGAGTTGACCTGAGCCAGTCCAGAAAAAAACCATTCAGCCCTGCACTTGTATGTCTCTTTTAAAGAAATTAATAATGGAGTACAATGTAAAGAAAACAATTCAGTTATACTTTTGATGTAATGCATGTTTATTGTGCAAGTTTTTGGCTTACAATTGAGGTATTTCCTTTTAATGTACCTGTCTGACATAGCATCTAATTGTTACCTTTTTGTACTTATTCTCTAGAAAGAGTGGTTGGATAGGATTGAAGAATGTAAAAAGAACTTTAAACTGAAGCTGGAACAAGAGGTTAATGAAGGTGGCAGTGAAGTTGCATCCAATACAGAGATTACCAGCAGTTCAGAGAATTCCAATCCTTTTGTTGAAGATAGTGGAAAAAATCCATTCGTAGAGGATGACAACAGCAATCCTTTCTCAAATAATTATGATGATGACAAGAATCCATTTAATGAAAGCAAATCCACCAATCCTTTTGATGAAGAGGAGGATGAAGGTTGCTATAATGATCTTTATCAAAACAGTACACAGGCAGAAAATAATCTGCTTGACCTTTATGGAAGATGCTACTTGAATCAACAGTTTAGCAGAGAGGTTGCCGTAGGGACCCATAAGAAACTGAAAAACTCAAAACAATTACTCATTTGTCTAACAATTGAAACTAAGGTGCAATGAATGACTAAGGCATCAGACAAAATAATGGCAAAAATCATTAATTGAAATCAACACCTTAAAAATGAGACTCTGAAAAAATTGAAATTAAAAATATTTATCTGATAAACTAGAAAACGGAAAAGTCTTGTTACCAGCCCCTTGTCTGGGGCAAGGTCAACATGGTAGGGAGGCATCACCACTGGCTAACCACTTTATAAAAAACCATTTCCAGCAGATGCACCAAGATCTCCCCACAATGGTCATGAGGACCCATCTAGTATTATGTAGTTATCTGCCTCAATGTGCAAGCACTGGAGAGGGCTTGGGGTGCGAAGGAGGGAGTAGATTAATGCAACAGAAGTCCCTGCTTAACTTTCCCATTAAATACCTGGAGTGCTTTAACTTTCTCAAGGGAAGATACTTATCAATTGAAAGTGACGGTGTCTTAAAATATAGAACAGATTAAAACTTAGGGGGCATGTCTTTTATATACATGTCTGTGTTTTTGTTACAGGGCCTGTTTCTTCTTCCTCACCTAATTCTGGAAACTCCAATGTTGTCAAGGTAACAAAAAATTGAATCAGAGAGCAACCACTAGTACATGTATGAGTTTAAATGATGTATGTGAACCAAAATGTAGGCCTGATTTCCTCTGTTGTCTTGAGTTTTGTCTTTATTCCTCTCTAGACCTCCTTGTTGTTTCCCTGTTCTTGATCCAGTCAGCAGTGTGGCTTAATTAATTCTTTACATAAAATTATATTTAGCTTTTTTGTATATTTTTTTCAGGCTGGAAAAGGTTGGCTTAGAGATATGCCAGAAGATTTAGACATGTTCATAGCTCAAAGGGATTTTGAGAGGGCCATGGAGTTAATAGATAGAAGTGAGTAGTGTTTCCTCGGCAAATAGTGAACCTAGATTAAGCTAACACGGTCATCCTCCCTCCTTCCTTCCCACGTAAAAGCTCTCTGTGCTGGCCTTGGTAGAATTATTTAAGCTCAGCATATCTTATAATTATTCTTTCAGCGAAAAAATATTTGAAAGAAAACAGCAGCTCTCAAGCAGCAAAAGAAATCAAGTAAGTCTTACCAAATTTATTGTCAAGTTGATAAAATGTAGTGTCCTATCAGTTGTTCAGTTAAAAGAACCCCTGGACATGTAAAAGGTGTTCAAAATTAGCCACTGAAATACGCGTACCATAAGGGTGTACAGCGCTAGCAAGGAAGAAATAGATTTCTACTAACTCTTTCAATACTTTCATTGTGTTTTTGTGGGCGACATTATTTCATTTTTATTTGGTTAGAGTTCGCCTTGATCGTCGAGTAAAGCAGTTGGTAGATGCTCTTATTGATGAGTTGGACTCTAGTCGGAGCTTTCTACTTCATGTAGGACCACGAGCAACCAGAAGAACTGTGTCACTGTTGGTTAGACTGGGGAGAGCTTCTGAGGTGTGGCATATTAATGTTCTATAATCTTGCATACTTGTCAAAAGAGGAGATTTTTGATCGGATTTTTTTACTTAAAAAATGATGCAGTGATAAGGTTATCAGTCGATCGTGCGCTACATTGTTCGGTTGAGGGTAGTGCAGAACAAGACTGTAGGTGACAGTGACCTTGCTACAACCTGAGTAGATGGTTGACAGCAATTGATAACTTATGAGCCTGATCTCGACTGTTATGATGGCTTTGCTCGGTTTGTCAAAACGTCAGTGACTGTCACGTACACGGTCATGCCACACGATTGACTTGTTATCAATAAAAGATAAGCTTACCCCGAATCCCGTTTGAATTTGTTTCTTCACTTTTATAGTGCGCTTATGTATTACTGGCGACTTTTTCAAGGTGTGCATGTGTCAGGGTGGGTGGGAATGGGGAAGGATACTTGAACAACCCTGATTGACCTCTCTTATCTTTACTTTTGACGAGGCAGGCATGTCAGCTTTTCTTGAGGAACAGAAGTGAAGCCATCAAACATGCTATAAGGTAACCTATCACAATTTGTTCCAATTACTTTGCACAACTAAAATGATTGAACCCAGCATACCAGCTGCATGCAGACCTAATTTGATACAAAGCTAGCCTTAGTACAGATCTAATGAAGTGCTGAGTAGAAGCTCACTACAAGTACCGTTATGTGATATGGATGACTGCTTTATTTTTTAAGGCAACTCAAGATTGAAGGGGCTACATCTCTATACATCTCTAAGTTGTCCACCGCGTTCTTTAGTAGCATCATAGAGACTGGTAAAGAGTTTGAACAAGTTTTCTCTGCTAACAGAGGGTTTAGTTCAGGTCAGTAGAAAAATCTTCTTTCCTAACTTTCTTCCTCCATGCTGTAGCTGTAAATGCTTTCTAGTATTGAACTTCGTTTACTTGAAATGAATATTTACAGCTCTAGTAATAGCTTTAGTAGTCTTTTACTAATTCTTGTTTTTCTCTCTCCGACCAGCCTTTGTCGTGTGGGCCAAAAGTGAACTGAAGCACTTTGTGTCACGCTTTTCTAATCAAGTATTCAGAAGGGAGATGGGTTTAGCAGCTACTGGTGTTTGTGTTAGCATGGCAAGGCATCAGTGTGAAAAGGTAAACCTTACTGTGTTCTCACGTTTGACCTTGTTGCTGAAAGCCGCAAGATATATAGCCATCGTCAACGATGTCTGTCTCTCGTTCTCGTGGTATATTTTACTACTGTTTTCTCTGCGATGTAGCGCCTCTTTCCCAGAATCCTTGTTGATATTTATCTCTTCGGACCCCTAAATGGCACCCATCGTGGGGCTGTTATACGGTTGTCCTTATTTTCTATCCTGGTTCCAACCAAAAACAAAAAGTTTATACATTTTGACTGTGTAAAACTTAGCTTGTGACATGTTGATTGTACAGCTGCAGGAGATCGGCCTAGACTTAACATTTTCCATGCAAGAGATGCTTCTTAGAGACATTGTTGAAGCACTCCTTGACACAAGAGATCAGATGGTGAAGTTTTCAAGGCACAGGGCCATGGTAAGTGACATGAAATGTAAACGTGGAAATAACATCGTCACCGTTTTTTTCGGAGCCATTTTTTGTGGCGTGCATAACAACCTTCAACTCGAAAGGAGACTCCAAATAAAAGATCGAAAAGATAGGAAAAACACAAAAGTTGCGATGACAACCATGAAGGAACAAGAATGAATAAGAATGGAGAAAATTAACATGGATTGTACATGACTAAGTTGCTTATACAATGACGTAGCTCGGCGAACTCATAGTTTACTTCTAGTAAACGTGTAACAGGCAATAATACAAACTCTGAATCCCACTCGTGCCCTGGAGCGAATGAGGACAGACACCTCAGCGGCTTCTTGTGTTTTACTTTGAACTTCTCACAGGTGGTCATCTCTGCACTGAATAATCGAATAATTTCAAATCTACAGAGAGTTTCTCTCTATTATGAATTCACGATATGTTTTTTTCCTCATGAAGGAAACAAATTGGAAACCAATGGAGTTTGAAGGACATGCAGATCAGCTTGGAAAATTATGTGAAGAAATGGAAAGCCTGGGTATTGAGAGTTTTCAACAACTTGTTGGTAAGAAGCTGTGTCCATTTATCGATTTTTTGTTTCCTTTGCAGTTTCCTTTACCCGGCATTTTTTGTTTAAGTTATCTAGAATTCGATGTTGCAATTATGGCAATTAATAGTTAGTTCTTCCCGTTTGCGCTTCAGTGATAATTTGCCTTCAGAACCAAGGTTCTCTTTATTCCATGTCGGCTTCTGCAATCAGAAATCTCGGTCTGGAGTTGAACATGCTGATCACTCGGACCGACCGACTGATCGCGTTCTCTTGCCCTTTAGCTAGCCTACGGTATTTGGTCGAAAGCTGGTCCCGACTTGTCGGTAATCTATCGGTAGCCTGTTGGCAGCCTGTTCCAGCCTGTCGGCTATCTGCCGACAGTCTATCTAGCAACTAATCACCTACAGGGTCTTGGAACAACAGTCGGTAGAGAGAAGCTTCACTTGAAATTTACTGAGATTATAGCCATGACCCTCCTTCGCTTTGTTGTTTTGTTGAACACAGATGGCAATAAAGTGAACCTGAGCAGTGCCACTGTGGCTTTTATTAAAGGAGTGTTGGGCTTCGTAGGAGACGGATTAACAGTCAATACACCACAGGCAAGAAGGCTACTAATAATATGCGTGATATAAATGGTTATTTTTTTCCTTAATCTTTGTCTTTTATTTTGCGTAGTAAAATAAAAGTATCCCTTTCAACTTTCAGCTTCAGCCATGGTTTGTCGATTGCATTGGGGATTTGTTTGAAAACCAAGTGGTTCTGTTCGAGGCCATTCTTAAGTCTGGTCGGTATGCAAGCCAAGTAAGCATCTACCTGTATTCAGCGTTCATTTCCTTTAGCGAGGACGTCCGCTTACCAGCGGGCTTTGGCGTTAGTGCTGGCGGCAGTCGATGTCCTAGGCCTCGCTGCGCGCTGATCAAAAATAAGTGCGTTACCGAGGGCTTTGTTATTCCGCCTTTTACGTTTGTTTTGTTTAGTTCGGATTTGCTACTTTCGGTTCGGTTTTGTCTAAATTATTAGTATTGTAAAAAGCCGAGAAGCAGGATCCCTGGCAAGTGGCTTATAGCTCTGATAAGTTCAACACCCACTAAAGGCTTCTGAGTTACAACCGTCTTGTCATGTTGTCTTTCATAACCTGTTGTGCGTACTTTTTTTTCCAGCGTGAGTTCATCCTTATGAATGCTTCATTTGTCTTTGAAATTACCCTTCCTCTGATTAAAAAGCGATTGAAGGTAGGTATGCGGTTTAAATATGGTTTGCGAGTTTCGTTTTCTTTTCGATTGTTTGTCTGTGTTTTATTTGCTTGCGTAGAATTTCCTTGTTCGCTTTTTTCCGCGCTTGAGTTTTGGTGGGTTCCTTTACCGTTATTCTGAAAGGCTGTTGTGATTACTTTGGTTTTGTGTGGACGGCAGTTAAGGGAAAACCGATCCACCTCCTGGAATGAGCTCTTTTTTGTTTCTTTTCTTATTTTTGCCATTTTTCTTTAGGTTGGGACCAATCCTGGTCGTTTCATGGAAATAAAGAGCGAGTTAAAGAGACTTCAGTCCATTACTCCTTCAAGTGATGCGACGGAAGGAAAAACTGGCAAATGAAAATGTGATAACATCTCACCACTAATGATAAATTGTTTTCAAGAAGACACTTCATTATAGTCTGTTCAAAACAGAACTGAAAACAAAATAACAGAAGTAACCAAATGAGAACTTCAATTTTCTTGTATCTTACAGAAACAAATCTTTATTTCTAGTGAATTCAGTCTGATAATGATGTACAATTATTGTTTCGATACCGAGAAAAGTTCAGTTATCGTTGGATGAGAAGTAACAGCTGTCCTACGCTCCATGCGCATGGGCGAGGCTGCAGTCGAGCCTTTCGTCCGCCTATGATCGTTTTTGAGTGGTGGGGGAATCTTTTATCTGTTTCCCTTGGAGGGAAAATTCTTGTGACGTTTTCAATTTAATTTAGTGCAGAGAGAGCAGTAAAATTACCCTGACTGGTCTTAATAACGCGCTCATTGGAATGAAAGAGTTAAATTGTGATATTATCCTTGTCACCCTTGCAAAAAGGGCTCTACATTCTTTGTTTCTTTTTTATCTGCGAAAGAGGAAAATTCACCACATTCGTTTTGCATAGTAATGCAATGACGGTTACGCTGCCAATATTCGAGTTTTGTGCAAAAAAACACTTTGAGTCCTCAAGTCGTGGCTATAAGGGTTAAATAGACTCAGAGAATGAATTTGGAAACCAAATTACCTTTCCTTATTAGTAGATTTTTAACCACGAAAACCAATTTGGTTTTTTTTTTTTTTATAAAATCTTCAACTGTAGTGGAGTCGACCCACTCTTTAATTAGTACTGAACATTACAGCGAAAAAATAAATGAATTACACGAGAGAGAGAAGCTTTATGGTTGTTTCGGCGTTAATTAACATTAAATGAAGACTTCGTTAGGCTGGATCACGAAAATACTTGTGTGTTTCACCGGAAGCCCCGAAAAAAAACTGCAGGTAATTGTTTCTTTGTGAGTCTAAGCAATCACGCGCCTTTGTATCCGTAAACAATAACGCTAGCATTAGCACGTTACACAAACAATGCCAAACAAATGTACGGGCGGATGTGATATTAACTCCATTCTTATACAAACAGAACACTGGAACAGACTTGTATTACTTCGAATACTTAGTTCAGTATTTCTTGTCACGTTTATCACGAAATGTAACATGAACCTCGCTTTTTTACAGCTCTGAGCTACTTGGAATTGCTTGTTTTTGGTTTCACTTTGTGGTCAGTCTTGTCTTTTAACGGTGAGATTACAGGTACTCGGTCAAAAAAGAGTGGGAATGGATCCTAAGGGATTTAAGAAGAATAAACCTTTCTTTTTCAAGGTTTAGCAAGTTGTTGTGACAATTATTCAAAAATGCTAAATAAATTATAAGGGCGCTAATTATATGAATAAGTGGACAAACATGTCAACCGGAATAAGCTCTAGAAGTCTGCAATGCTTGTGAATTTCATTTGAATTGAAAACCCATACATTTAATTAAAGAGATTTTCTTCCACTCAGCTTGAAATTAGTTTTGAACATTGTTTGTCCATGTATACAAATTGGCACCAAATGTAGTTGAATGAAAGCCTTTTTTTGCTGGAAAACCAATATCAAAGAGTTTGATTGTTTATGTCAGTAAAAGCGTCATTAATCAATTACGTAAACCATAGTGTTTTACAGTCCAATATCACAGTTTGTTCACTCGTGCCACGCTCATTTTCAATCGAGTGTGGATCCTGTGAAAGTCTCGAAACTTTGATCCGTGATATAAATTCTGATGTTCACCAAGTTTGAGCCAATGGAGAACAGTTTCTCGCCGGTGAATGTTAGCCCTGCGACTTTTTATCATCCAAGCATCTCTGCAGCTCCAATGTTCCCGTATTCGTCCTTTTTCAGTGGGTACGTCAGCCAAGAAATGTCTTCCTCTTTCCTCGGTAAAGACGTAAGAGTTCTGCCAGGTTATGTTGGTCCGTGTATTCCATGTTACCACCAAAGCTTTCAAGGCATCCCGTATCAACCCGCAGATGAAGAAAAACCAACTCAATCATACATTGGTCTTATTGGAAAAGCAATTCTAAGCTCTCCACAGCAGAAACTTGTTCTTGGTGATATCTACAACTACATTCTAACAAATTACCCTTACTTCAGGAATAAAGGACCTGGATGGCGTAACTCCATACGCCACAACTTATCACTCAATGATTGCTTTGTTAAACTGGGTCGCTCTCCAAACGGCAAAGGACACTTCTGGGCAATCAATCCACTTAACTATGAGGACTTCAGTCAGGGAGAGTACAAACGCAAAAGGGCCACGAGAAGAAACCGGGAGAGAAAAGAGAGTGGTGGAACGAAATTGAACACAACTGGACATGTTCCGAGGTGCTCATCACAAGAAATCCGTTGCACCAATAACATTTTTCCAGATGAAGCAGAAAATAGAGGTTTCCACATCGAGACGCTACTATCAGACAAATGGGAGGATGTCAAAAGCAGTGAAACGCACGAAGCGGTGTCAGCATTTTCCTTTGTGTCGCAGAGACAGATACCTGTCAAAAAAGAACTTGAAGTACGCAGATTTCATCACCGAGAGAATGACCCAGCAAAACAGACTTCTTATGAATGAGTTTCTATGTTAGAATTTGAATTTAAATACCTCAATGTACTACGACAATAAACTACAGGAAGATATTTTCAGCCTCTAATTCTTTGGAAATTTGTAGCCATGTAGTTTGTTTGAGAGTATTAGCGAAAGATTACAAGTCTATGTCAATTTGATGCCATTAAAAAAGATATTGGGACAATGTTTTCCCAGATGAACGACTTTCAGTCAAGAGATTTATAGAAGAACACGGCAAAAGGGTACAAATGTGATTTTCTTTTCGAACCTTTTTCATAGCAAGAAAGCGCACTGATAAAGTAATGTAAAAATAAAAAAGTTGGTAGGCGTGATGAAACATAAGCAAACATATATCTATTCATTGCGCTATGATAAAAAAAAAACTCTAAGAAAACCTTTAAACAATGCAGTTTTCACGGATTTTGTCTCCTCCCCATTCCTTTAACATGTAAATTTACGGTTCATGAAACAATAAAACAAATAAGCAACCTGTGTTTTGTGTGGCCTCTTAACTGATAAAAGACAACACCGTCTTTTGTAGGAAACCGGACATTAGTAACAAACGACGTGAAAGACGCATGGTTCTGAATGCTGAACTTTTAACAAAAGGAAACAATATTTGAAATTAGTGTTATTAAATTGGTTTGACTGACTTTCGTGTCGAGTTTAGGAATATTTTTAATTATGAAAATATTTGAAATGATTTGGATGACAGCCATTTTCTAGTCTATTAAAGTCAAATCATAACAGTTTTTTGTGGCTCGTTAGTGAGTCTGTTTTAGAATCGTTTGCAGTGTGACTAATCAAGAAGAACAAATATTTCTCTCGTTGAGTTTTTCTAGTGATGCCAACAGTTTCCAAGAGCACCGTCCACTGTCCGAATTCAAGAAGAAAATAACTCTAAGACTTCTACAGAAGTGCCATGGGATGCTATCACGAAATTGGACTTCCGACATTCATTTTTGAATAGCTTGATGAAACCAGGTTACATTACAGAAGAAAGTTTACAGGTTTGAGGATAAAAGAAGATTTTGTAAATAAAATTTAAGATTGCACTTAAGACTGTATTTGAGATTGCTGCAAGTCGCCTGTCACATACAATGAACCTATTTTAAGCGGACAGCCATAGAATCGTTCCTTGTGTCCAATTAAACGCCTAAGGGTTTTTTATAAAAAGAAAGGAGAAAAAAATTGGGATCAATCGGGCAGACGTGCATGCGCTTTAGGCTTGATAACTCATATGAACGATATATGTACATTGAGGAAGTGAATTTTGGTGACAATGGAGAAAGCTTTTGGTAACTAAGATGGCGCAAAATAGGTCGAATTTAAGAACCAAAGGCGTAATTAAGGCAATCATTGAACGCATCAAGGTAGTGTTTTGTTACATGGCAACCGTGAAGCTTTTTGAAGAATTCTGACTCTGACACTTTAAGTGTGATATATACTTTACTGGAAAAACCCGCTTGTGTCACAACTTTCTCTACAGTGTAATCAGACAAGTAATACCAATAATTCGTCGGCTGCCGAGGTTCCAAATTGTGTCTTTTTATATGTACTGGGCCCTCAAAAAAGTTATATGAAACTATATAACTTTTAAGGTAACCGCAGCAGTTCAACCTACAGATACGTGAAAAGTCTCAACATCGTTTTGACGCAGGGAAAGGTTATTTCTGATTCTCATATCGCAGATGGCTGCAAGAATGACCATCAAATGCATTAATCATGTCAGTGTCAAACGAGGCCTACTCAAAAGGTGTCACCATTGACAGTTTACTGTTGAGAAGAAAATTTCTGAGCAATCGATTGATTTAAAGCTCTTAAAAACGAGTTTGAAAGCCATGTACTTACTCATCTCTTTAAATGAAAACAAGAGATGACAATAAATATCTTTTTACTCAATTGTACTCACTAAATTTACTCTTAGACCAGTAGACTACGTGAAGTGTTCGTCTGAAGAAACAACGTTATAGGCAAAAAATGTGATTGTTTTGTTTTCGTGTTCCTATGACTGCTTGAAAATAGATTATTAAATCTAGTTATGAAGCTTTGATAAAAGTGTTCCTCTCATAGCAGTTTTGGTTGTTCAAGTGATTTTTCTTTATCATCTATTGTAGGCTAGAGATACGAGCAATTTTCATATTTGTTGACACTGAATTCCCAGTCTGCAATCACCTTAAAAACTGACCAAACAATCGTTTTTTGTTTTGTTAGGAGGACGAATTGTCACGCCCCTTCAGCAGACCCTTCCATTAGAGAACAATGACACTAAAATTAGTACGTTAGACAAACAATACGGTAAATAAATACTCCGACATAAAGAAAAATAAGCAGCAGACTTGTTAACAGTTTATTTCTGTTCTTATTCATGAAAAAGCAAGCTTGTTGATGTTTTTACTGACTATCTCACAGCAGTTTCTCGTAGTGTGCTTTTTTATCGGCTAAACTTTGCTTTTAGCAGTCATTTAGAGATCGAATAGTCTCTCGGGGACTATTAACTTGAGAATGAATGGAACGCTCCTTCAAAGAAAAAGCTACTTTGAATTTGTTTTTCAAACAAGTCTGAAAGGAAAGCCAAACACAAGGCGTGGGGCGTTAATTACAAATAATAAGCTTAAAGAATGAAGAAAAAAAAGTAAAAAAATTCGAGGACGAAGTAGAAGTACGTCTTCAAGATTAATATGCTGAAAGATCTCCTAAGAAATACACAAAATTGAATTTCATGATCATATAACTTATGATATTCCTTTCCCTGAGTTGACTTTATTTGACATTGAGCAATGAGGATTAGAAGCAGTTCCATTATACAAAACAATGACATTGTTGATTAATTACGACAAGCGTTTCTTGAGCCAATATAAAAGCTTACTCATCTGAGCAAACTTGAATTTCATTTGGGCAACAGCCAAACTAAAAGTGAAGTGATTGACGTTCTCAAACTGAAAGTTAAAGCTGGGGCCAAAACGTTTGTTCCAATGGAAACTAGTTTCTGGCGGCCTGTAAATGCGACGCCTCTAAGGTTCTACCTTCCAGCTGCCCCAAGCCACCCAGCTGTACCCGCTGCTCCAACTTTTCCCTACTCGTCTTTGTACTTCGGATACGCCAGCTCAGAGATTTCGTTTTATGTTCCAGGATATGTAAGTCCATGTTTTCATCAAGGCTTTCATGAAATTCCGACCCAACGCAAGAATGAACAAAAACCAACTCAGTCATACATTGGTCTCATTGGAAAAGCAATTCTAAGCTCTCCACAGCAGAAACTTGTTCTTGGCGATATCTACAACTACATTCTAACAAATTACCCTTACTTCGGAAATAAAGGACCTGGATGGCGTAACTCCATACGCCACAACTTATCATTAAATGATTGCTTTGTTAAACTGGGTCGCTCTCCAAACGGCAAAGGACACTTCTGGGCAATCAATCCACTTCACTATGAGGATTTCAGTCGTGGAGATTTAGGGTACAAGCGGAAAAGATCTTCCAAAAAAAGTCAGAGAAGCATTACACCGGAAAAAAGTTTACAGACATTAGAAAAAGGTCAAGGCTGGAAATCATGTAAAGATGTTGTTCCTCTGTGTGCCAAAGAGGAAGTTCGTCAGGGCGATAACAGTTTCACACACAGTCAAAGTGGATTGCGCCAAAGAAGTTTTCACATCGAAAACATTTTATCCGATTGAATGAAACTTTACGGCATTGAAAAACATATAACTGTTTCTTGGATTTTATGTGGAGTTCATATAAATGTATAATGCACCCGATTCTAAGGTGTTTGTGACGGTTCTGGGTAACACTTATAGGTTTACACTTTTCAAAGGAGTCTTCAGCTCATGTGTAATTCAGTCTTGATGAAAATAATTTAGTAAAACAATTCATAAAACAATTTACTATAAAGATTTTCCAGGTTTCCTTTCTCGTAATCGATTGTAAGTAGTTGTTTCAGAGCGTGAAAAAGGTATAAATGTTTTTCTGATGATTGACGAGTATATAACAGTCTCAGAGATCAGAGTAGTCCCGAAAAAGGCAAGTGTTATGAAACTTATGTCAGTCGACTGAAAACAACTCGTCATTTAGTTCGGTCATGAGTCTTCCAATCAGGTTGTTAGAGTGACAGACAATGTCGGGAAAAGCTTGCTTATTCAGGGTTTTTTCTCACCCAGGCCACCAGACTACTACGACTACTACGATTGTTACCCATAGTTTCAAAGTATTTTCTGTATATGAATACATTTTTCGGTGAATATGAACACAGATATAGCAACTGAAATTCATAGAAACAAAATTCAACAATAGTCAAGGGTTAGAGCAAAACGAAGGGAGAAAACAGTCAAAACTTGGCAATATAGTTAAGAAAATAGCAACTAGAATTAGCGGAAATTTATGTGTAAACGACTTTTGAATAGCAATAAAAAAAACTTAATTTGCAATCTACCTAATTAGTCTTCTTTGTAAACATCCTACTTCAGCGCCAAACTGTAAATGTTGTTTTTCAAACAAACCGAGCTAAGAGCAACAAATTATTTATATGACTTTTATTTCTCTCATTTCTGAAAGTGGAATACTTACAAAGTCAACCTAAACACACAGTTTTTATCATCTTTCTTTTCCTTTTTTCCATCCCACGGAAAAATTTGATTCTCCTCATTTTTCCTTCCTGTATCTTATGAAATAATCTCATTCGATGCCGGCCGCAATTGCAACCAGGTCGGTAAACTGTGACCCTGCAATTTTATTTATTCACAACGGTCGCTCTAAGTTCACTATTCCTGGTTGTAAACGTTAGTCAAAGGTCAGTTATCTTAGATAGTTTTTTTTAAAACTTGGCAGCTAACAGGATCTACTTGGAAGTTATTCCTTTCCAAGGATAATCTCAATTGAAGAAAAACGTAAAATCGTATTCACGGCTCAGGCTTCGGTCAGGCAGATTAAAACGTTCTTAAACCACTCTGATTTTCTTTTCGCTTGACTAAAAAACTGAGCGTACACTGCTGTAGTTTGATATTCTGGAAGCAAAAGAAAGCCATTTCTTTTCATTCGCAACAAAGAATTGCATTCCCAAGATTTCTCGACACTAACGTATGCTTTCAAACTTACTTAAGCCACAAATTCCGTCGTTTCTTGGTTAAAGTAATGTTGATTAGGTCTATGAATAATATACAATGCCAAGTTTGCTTATCTGTTTGCATTCTTATTAGGTGAAATGTGTATTTGCATTTAAATACATGGAATAGTGGTAAAAGTCATTAGCACCGAATTTTTATTGCTTTTTCTCAATATGTTTAATCGCTGGCTGGCTTAGAATACAACGCCGGCACCAATATAAAAAAAAAAACTGATTATTTTTCCCACGCTTCCAGTTTAATTTTCTCAATATTTTTGTCAGCACTTGGAATTGTGAAACAAACATTACCATTCTGCACTTTCTAATGTCATCAGAGAGATTTTTATATATAGCTGTAACAAATACCGCACGGACGGAGAAATGCTTACAACGCAATGTGTATGGCTTGTTGATCAAGTTTTTGTCCATTCTTATTTCATATGTACTATGCAGGTGGTTTGAGATAAACATTCAGCTTCCTTTTCCGTTCTTTTCTTCGATGTTTACGCAGCTTTCAGTTTTTATATGAAATCAAAATTCCTAAAAAAACCAGTCCACTTATGAATTAGCTGGCGACAACAGCAAATGCTGACGTAGTATTCAGTGATCCAGCGCTACCTTTCTCTTCCCATTTATTGGATAAAAGAGTTTCGATGTGAAAACCTCTATTTTGTAAAAAACTTTTACACTTCGTTTGAGCAGCTGGATAGTTGTTGGAGATTTCATTTGTTCTTATCTCAGTTCCGTTTCTCTCCCGGTTTCTTCTCGTGGCCCTTTTGCGTCTGTACTGTCCCCGACTGAAGTCCTCATAGTTAAGTGGATTGATTGCCCAGAAGTGTCCTTTGCCGTTTGGAGAGCGACCCAGTTTAACAAAGCAATCATTTAGTGATAAGTTGTGGCGTATGGAGTTACGCCATCCAGGTCCTTTATTCCCGAAGTAAGGGTAATTTGTTAGAATGTAGTTGTAGATATCACCAAGAACAAGTTTCTGCTGTGGAGAGCTTAGAATTGCTTTTCCAATAAGACCAATGTATGATTGAGTTGGTTTTTCTTCATCTGCGGGTTGATACGGGATGCCTTGAAAGCTTTGGTGGTAACATGGATTCACATAACTAGACCATATACTAGAGCCATTTCTGTTAAGACAGGTTGACATCTCTGGGTTGAAGTATCCGCAATGATAAAACGAGTGAGTGAACGCTGGAATAGCTGAGACACTTGGAAGATTAAAACTCTGAGATGCCATGTTTACGGTCGAGAATGTACTTTAAATGTGACGCAAACCTCCGTGAAGGTACCAGATTGTCCAGGGTTGGTAAAAGGCCGCGTAGACTGATGTTGTGCGACTTCTTAAGCACCACACTCTAAGAAAGAAATGAATATTACACGCGTGAACAAATCGTGATATTGGCTTGAAACACGCCAGTTTTACGTAATCCATTAACTACACTGTTATATCTGGAGAACAATGAAAAGAGTCTTGTTAAACAAAGTGCTCAACACCGAATTTCGCAAGGGGTGTAAACTGAGTCGCTTTGTTAAGAGAGTCAAATTTTGCTGTATTTAATTTTTCTCCAGGATTCCAAGAAAGTTGGAAACGTAAATACAATTCACCTACTCTGATGGATCTGTCCTTGGAAAATAATTCTTTAAATTTTCGTTTCTGCCATGAGGTGATTATTCGTAATTAGCACCTACGCCTCCTTCTTCATTCTGTTTCAGTAGTTGGGAGGAGTTAATGTAATGACTCTAATATCTAAAAGAGACAGAACAAAAGCAGAACGTCTTACAGGTCCTTCATTGTTTTCTGCTCATTTCTCTAGGGACATCGCAAACACTGGCAAACAATAATCTTTAAAACTAATTATTGAAAATGCAAATCAAAATAGGTTTTCTTTGGCAAACGTTACAAGTTGCTAATAATTGTGATCCTCTCTTTTCTCCATTTTGATCATTTTTCCTGTTAAGTTAAAGTTTAAAATTCCTGATGTAGGCTGAGGATATGAGTAGAGGCCAGAGAAACCCAAAAACAACCTGTCTGAAGGTCCTTTCTCTCAAGAACAAATGACATCCTTTTTGTTTGTACACGCAATAAAACAGTTTGTGGTCTCGTCAACTAATGAAGGGTTTCATAAAGGGAAATTATTCTTTAAGCTTCATACTCAATGCCGATGATTAGTAAAACTTATTGTAAAATTAGGGGCCACAGTTTTCTTTTTTTTTCACAGCTAAAAGTAAATGAATCTATTGTGAAAACACGGGCAAGTAATATATTCGCTATTACCCATAGTTTTAATTAATATAACAAACTTAGGTAAATATCTTTGCGAGAGACAACCGACATACACATGCAGTCAATATAGGTTTACAGCTCCATTTACAAAATTAATTCCATATTGTCGTGCATCTGTTCAGTAAGAGATTACAGATGACGTCAAAGTGTTGTAAGAACAAAATAGGGACTCATCAGGCTTAGCGGAGTGTACTATATATGTGTCACTGATATTCTTACTGCATCTTGACGTGTTCTGTGTTCTATTACTGCAACATCAAATATATTAGTTTATACAACAACAAAGCAAAACGTTGCTAAAGGTGACGTCATCTATACGACTTTCCTCCAATAGATCATAAGTGAGAACCAATTAAAATGCGTGAATGATTTAGGAGAGCGGACAGCTGCTTTACAGGGTAGAAAAGAGGGGGTGGGGGGGCGGGGGGCGGGTCCTTATCCGCGTTTCGCGTAAGAACTTTAAAAATATGCACGCGCTATGTGTATTACACCATTTCACGCGTCACGAATTTAAATGGAATATGTAAATTCACCCTTTTTGTGAGAGGAGTTTCATGGAAATCCTGCGGTTTCTTAGGAAATGTAAGAAATTATCCACGGGTTAAGAGTATTTCAGGAGGCAAATCACGTGTAACGCCAGTATGCTGGTTCATAAATTCACGAATCACAATCGCCTTTCTGTAAAAAATCATACTCACATATTGATTTTGGCCTTAATAATTTTGCATCACGTATAAACCATTTTCCACCACTGTCCACCCACGGTTTGCCTAGGGTAACAAGTAGATAATCGCGCGAATATCATCCCGCGGTTGCCACGGGTCATTTCGGGAAACCGCTATTTATGCACGGCGGGCTCGGATTACTGAAAGAGAGGCTAGTGGCCATATTTGTTGTCTCCACGTCACATTGGTCCGATCGCGATGTAAACCCAGTCAGTGGCATTCAAGTTGGAAATGTTTTGAACATTTTCTGCACGGATCAATGGATGCGAGAGACTATTTGAAGTCCGATCTGATTCAGGCTATTTGCTAATCGTCGACTGGCACAAGATGTGTTACAGAAGAAACAAATCGATTTTTCAGGGAGCTGTATTTTTCGCTCTACTGGGTGGCCTTGGCTACACATTCTACTTGTACAACATTGTTTCAATGGACTTAGAGATCTCGAAATCGGAAGCGAATAGGTATCTCCGGAAACAGGAGTCTTTCTCATCTCAGCTTCAAGGTATTTGACAGCAAAATGGGGATCTGTATTTTTGTAGTATTGTTTTAAAAGTGTTAGTGATATTGTTATCATCCTCGTTAAGGACATACTCAGTACCAAACAATACAAAGGCCGATCTTAGACTTATTGGTTTAAAGTGGATATCTTCGTTACTGTTTTGATTAATGCAGAATTGGGGATTTTTTTGTGTACAGCAGAAGGGGAAAACAATCTCATCTGTGTGTGTTCATTTAGATTTCCATACTTTTTGTTAAGTTTTTTGAATTTATGCTAATTTATTATGTTGTACCTGTTGGTGATATAGTAGAACACCAGTATTTAATATGATGAGTGTTAATGCAATCTGAGCGAATATTTATCGTAATATTTGTATGATAGAGAGTAGAAACAGTATCAGTCAAAAGGAAGTAAATTTATCTTAAATAAAACATCCAGCTTAGTTTATCTGCACTGTATGGGAAGCTACCCTGTACATCAGAAAATGTATTTAATTATTGCGATTAATTAAGCAATCTCACCTGTGTGTCTTTTAATTTGTTGCAGTTGTTTATGAACATCGAGCTCGGCTGGAAAGATCCCTTCAAAAGGAGAAGGCAGATCACAAGAATACCAAACTAGGTTGGATCATAAATAAGTTGTCATAGTAGTGTTCTCTATATGAGAGACAATATTTTCTTTTTCTGCGTAATTTGATTATTTTTTGGCATATTTAAAAATTTTGTTGCAAACATTTGCATGGAAAGTTGAATAGTGCCTTAATTTTGTATTTTTCCTTTTTGCAGAGTATTCTAAAAAGCAAAAGGAGTTTATTTTGAATATAACCAGATCCAAGGTGATTTAAATGAATTCTAAGTTTATTGAATGTGCAAATTATGATTTTAGCCAATAACTTTGTGAAATAAATCACTTTGTTGATACTATTGTTTGATTTCAGCATGAAAACATGAACAGGTTCAATTCTTTAGAGACTTCACACAATATGCTAAAGGTTGGTAAATGATAACTGCGCAGTAAATAAGTTGAGCTTGCTTATTTTTTTGTGAACTTCAACTACAATGTAATAATGAAGTGTTATTGATTGTCTCAAGTTGTAGTCACTGCTTATTTTGACTGTACATCACTATTGCTATTAACTTCTGGGCAACATCTCATGGGAACACATCAACCAATTGCACCAATCAGAACTGTTGAGAACCAACCAGTGACAGCAGAGTCTTATGCTCTATAAGGAGATGAATGATTAGTCATCCTCATCTCTCCTATAAAAGACTCTGCTGCAGCTAGGAGTTGAAACATTACAATCCACATAGCTAACAACATAAAAAAAATTTTTAAAGCATTCTTTTTGCCCCAGAAGTTAGATGTTTCTCTGTATTTTAATTGTGATCAATGTATCATAGCTCTCTCTCTGATTTCCTACAATTAAAAACTTACTAAAAATCTCTTTGTAAAAATTATCATGATTATTTTCTAGGCCCAGAATAAAGAGCTTGATACAGAATATAGCCGTCTTCAGCAACAATACTTTCGTCTCAGTTCAGAGCATAGCACTCTTAACAACCAACAAAAAAGGAACTATCAGCTGTTTAAAGAACAGAAGGCAAATGAGATAACATCACTTGATGGTAATGTCACTTGTTCTCTTACTGTGCCCATTCAGCTAGTAGTGCAATTTTTTTTAAGTGCATTAGTTTGATTATTTGTTTGGCTGAAGATTGATCATGGCCAGCAATATTTCTAATAACCAGTCACCCAGCTTTGATTGTAGATGTCCCATCTGACTGCTGGCCCAGTTAGTGTATGAGTGTGCTTGAATGACACAAAAAGATTCATTTTACACATATTTCAAATGAAAACATCGCTCTATGTTCATTTATGTTATTGTCAGTTCTGATATCATTTATGACTAAGCCTGCATCAACATGCCCTTTGTATTAAAATGAGATATGTGTAAATTGACAGATTAGCTCAGCAAAGTAAGTGGAAAAAGATAATTACAAATTTAATAGATGTTCATGTAGGACTAATGGGTCAATATTGTAATAATAATGTTTTGTAATACGTAGAGGAAATCAAAACACTGAAGAAACAGGTTGTGGCATTAAGAACACATCTTAAGACAAGAGAAGAGGAACTTGAGCGCTATAAGGTTTGCACATTTATCTTTGTCAGAAAGAATTGATAAAACAGTATAGACTAAGTTGGGTAATGAATACGGGTAATGTCAACTTTGTGACAGTCCTACAATCTTGTAGACTCCACAAATGAACTGATTATAAAATGATGCATATTAAATGATCATTATTTCTTAATAAATTATATGGCTTACCACTGTTTGGTCTTCAAGCTCTGAAATTGTCTGAAAAGGATATATCCCATTTGGTAATTGGAGATCAAAGAAAAAACTGTGTATCTGAATCTGATGCATCAGATTAAGCAAGGGTACAATGTATTTCTTTACATTTATCAGCTGGTTAATTTCTTGTTGGCTATTTCTTGTAGTTGTCCAGCGCTCAGGAATTGAGACAAAGTGAGCAATACCAGGAAACAATTAACACTCTAGAAGAAGAACTTGCATCTTACAAGGTAAGTTTCCTACAAGACAGCTGAACTTAAACAAGTATGATCATTATTCATCTCAACACCACTGAAACTGGTTTACCCAGCTTATCTCTCCACAAACTATGGTGATGGACCTGAACTCTTCACTGCCAATTTTTTTAGCTTTACATGAGCCTTCTCCAGGAATGTCCGTGGAACAGTTCCATCATGGGACAAAAGCTCACCAACCAAATGCAGTCAGAACCTTTCTTACCTGTGGTTGAATGCCACTTCACTCAAAAATCAAAAAGCTAGTGTATGTAACCACACCTGCTGTAGCTCAAGTTGGTTAGCTTTTATTTATTCATATAAGTGGACTGCTGGTAGCTATAGAATGGATGTTGAGGTATTACATTTTTTGGTTGTCAGAAATCACTGGAAAGACTCGAAAAAGCTCAGCAGAGAAGTCAAAAAACTGTTGGTCAGAACAAACTTGAAAAAGATAAAACATCAGATGCTAGACAGCAAGGTAATGTGATAGATATCTCTATCACAATCATAATCAGTCAGTAATAAGCCCTCTCCTGTTTTGAAAATTTTCAAAGCCCCCCTTTCATACTGATTAATGTGCCTCCCTCTCCTCTCCAATATTGGCACCATTCCTTTCCCCCCCAAAAAAGAAAGGCTGGCAGAAAAACTTACTTTGAAGGCTTCAGAGACAGATCATTGGAGTTTTTACTGTTACACTGACAGGAATAAGTAACATGATAAAAGAAAGCTGTCTGTAAGAAAAGCTCAACAATCTTGAGAACCATAGAATTACTATTAATGGGATTAGTGAAGAAAGGATGGTGATGCTGAAGGTTATTTTTTGATATTTTATAGGTAGTGATCTACATAACTCTTTTAAATCTGAAGTATTAACACAGGGAGACAAAGAAAAAACAGAGGTGGAAAAAGCAAAGTATGTAGTGTAATTTACTGTTGTAGAATCCCATGAATAACAATTGCTGATGATGAATCTTTAAATGTTCCAGTGGAAAATTAATCGTTGTATTTCCAACAACAATAATGTAGCAGTATATAAAGACATTTTTCATCTTCTTACACCAGTTTCCATTGTTTAAGTCAAACAGGTTCACTTGGAATGGAGAGCAGACATGCTGATGAACACAAAGTCCCGGACCGCCATCGTCGAGAGACTTCCCTACCAGCCACACATTCCAGTAATGACAGTAATAACAAAATGAATGACTCTTCTGAAAGATGGATTGTATTATTTAGAATAAGTTTTGTTCTCTAACTCAGAGTGTGTGAATTCATAATAATCATCTTTTCTTCTTTTTGAGCTTGCCCTGTTTACTGCTTCCATTTGAGGTTACATCTGTATGCTGAATTGTATTTGTCTTTTAACAAAGAGACTAGAACTTCTTTAAACCTGAAGATGTTTTCTGGGATCTTAAAACTCTGCTTGAAAGTTTCTCCTTCTAATTATCAAAATCTCATAATTTGTTTGCCTGAAGTGACAGAGGAAAACAGCCCCTTGTACTCTTACAGCTTCTGTTGAACAGAGGAATGTCAAATATGTAACTTTGCAATTAGGAAGATGGTGTCGGTTAACTGCCTAAAATATATTATTGTTAAAAAATATTAACCTTAAACCCCTAAGAGCAATTGGTGTCAATTAAATTCTTCTTACAGTATCAACCCTGGATCCCACATTAAGCACGCAAAAATTAAGGATTTGACCACCAATTGAAGAACCTCTTGTCAGCACCTTACGAATTGTGTAGAGAGGAGTATGGAAAATATTGATACTGACGTTTGGGTGTAAAGGTTTTTCTTCATCTTTTTCTTTTTCGTAAAGATGCTGATGAGGGGAAAGGACTCACAAGTAAGAATCAGGAACAGGACAATATTCAGTTAGGAAGAAGGGAAGACAGCAGAAGAACTGAAGACTCATTCAGTGAGAGTGAGCAGGTCCGCCATGATGTTCCTTTGAGGGACAGTGAGGAAGACACCGGGAACACAAATAGAAAACATGGAGTCCATGTTGTCTCTGCTACAGATAAATCTGTGAATGGATGGGAAAGTATCATCAAGGTAAACCAGTTTTCTACAAATATACTAATAATGCATTATGAGTGGCAACTCTGTTATGATAACGTCCTGTATTTTTGTAACATTGAATTTCCGTGTAACTTTTGAATCTTTTGACAGGCCGAGCGAGATAGTCGAAGAGCCAATCAGGAAGGAAGAGAAGGCAATGAAGAAGGCATAGAGGAAGAAGGCGAGGAGGAAAATGTGAGAGAGAGAAATAGAAGATCAGTTGATGATGCAGACACCTCCCGACTACAGAACAAGAATGAGCAGAATTATGTTCAGAAACAACCTGGCGAGGGAGAGGTGGCAAATGAACGCAGAGGCGTGGCTCAGCTGGGAGACAAAGATGGTGAGCAAAACGAACAGGGATACCAAGATGACGATACAAGGAGACGGCGTGCCCAGTATGGCGAGAAACAGAGCAACAAACGGGGTGAAGAAGAGGCACGGGAAGGAGATGGTCAGGACAATGAATTATCGCGAAAGAAAATAAATGAACAAGTGGCTGGAATGCAGGAAGACTTTCACGAGGAACAAATTCAGCAACAAAATGAGGACTGGGAAGATCAACGACAACTAAAACAACAAATTCAACCACAGTTTGAAGGACTCTCTCTTGAACGAAACAAGCATTATGAAGCAAGGGAGTTGCCAACACATATTGAGTTGACCGCCATCCCAGCCACCTCACACGACACAGCTCAGGACCATAGAGATCGGTCTGATGGTATGTACACTGTTATTTTTGCTTTCTTTTTTAGTGGTGCTTGAAACACTACATGATAAGGAGTCCCCGCATTTTTAGTGTTTCATTAGATACAAAATGTGTCTTTGAATTTGAGTTGATGTTACTTTGGAATACAGGAAGACCCGAATGTAAGACTGACTTTTTTTCAAATCAGCCCAAAATATTCCTACATTGTGCATGATTGATATTTTATATGGAGTTGTTAAGCTATTTAGTTCAATAAACAGGTTCCTCATTTTCCGAGAAAAAATGTTTGATTTTAGAAGAGTGTTACTGCTGTCTCTTCTTTTCATCAAATATGATTATGTCGAAATATCGATGCTCATTCCAGGAGTGGCTGGACTAATTACCAGTCCTTTGCTGACATACCCCTATAATTTGGTCAGTTTTCCTCAACAGTTTCCTGGTTCCTATATATATATAGATAGATACTCCTGGCATGGGTGGAGAGAGGTAGTACCTATTTATACTCCTGGCATAGATGGAGAGAGGCGATGTGAAAATTGTATCTTTTGTCTAAAACACATCACAATGGCACAGGCAGGACTCGTGCTTGGACCTGTTGCACTGTTCATCGAGCGCTTCAATTGTGGTTTGTGGAGATGTATATTAGACGAGGAATTCTGAAGTAGCTTAAATTGCGGGTTATTTGTAAGCACAGTAAAGGAATGTTACAGTTGTTAGTCAGTCTGAAAAGTATCTTGTTTCTATAGCTGAAAATGATGACGAAGATGCCAATACTGAACAAGACACAGAGGAAGATCCTGATGATGTTGAAGAAGTTCAAGAGAACGACAACATAGAATCATTCAAGCAACAACAACAACAACAACAACACCAACAACCACTGAAACAGGACACACAGCGGATTAAACCAATCCAGGGTCAGCAAGGGTTACACCACAAGGAGAGGACCTTTAACAGAGCGTTAAAACATGCTGACGATAACAATAATAATGAACAAAGCCAACAGGCGTAGTTAGATATTAATTTTTCCTGCCTGTGACCACACCTCTTAATAGGAATGTGGCAAATACTTTAGTAATGAGAGAAGGAAAAGGGGATGCGGTATCCTCTTCTCTCGTTCCCTTCTTTTTTGCTACCATCTTATGTGTCCTCGGTGTTCACTGATTGATTCTCCCAACCCCTTCTCTACAGTTTCTCTATCAAATGTATTCTTGAATTTGGAATTCGAACATCAAAGTGAACGCGCGCTGTTCCTCATGGAGGAACATATCGCATGTCGTTTAAGTTTGGTGTTGTATATGACCGTTCGTCAAGTCACGCTCGTGTAGTGACGTTAATTCAGAAGCTCACCGAGCTTTTGCGAATATTTTGCTGAAAGTTGCTTAAAGTGTGTACAGCAGCCCAGAAATTTGAAGAAGAGAATACTTTGCCTTATTTTATTGGTCGATTCGGTTCGCTTAGTTATGATCTGGGACAAATTAATTTATTTAGTAAATGGAGCATTAAGTTAAGATAACGAAGGGGGGTGAAGGTCAAAATATCGTTATGTGCGACTCTCTTCTCCGTAGAAAAGTAAAGAAAGTGTTGTATAAGTACTGCTGTATTGGCATCCGTTTAAAATTCATGCCACTGCAAAGCTTATTTATTGCTTTTTCCAATGTAGTTCGGCGGTTGATTCATATGTTTACAGATTTCACTGCTTACATAAAGTTCTAAGACCGCATTTAAGGGAGCTACTGAATGACATTCTAGTGTTTTTAGCTATCAAGTTCAGTACTATTGAGGAACCACAAGATGTTTTTCCGTCATGACACCACCTCTACCTTATGTTATCAGTTGGGCTCCGTGCTTCTATTGCCATGAACTATCTCTTCAAGACGTTCTTGACATATCAGTTAGGTAAAGTGAAATAGGCCAAAAAAAGAAAAAGGATTAAAAAGAGAAGAATGGCAAAGAATGGAGAATATTAACGCAAAACTTTAGGATAAATTTTTCAAAAACGTTACGTGGCTCCTTTGTTTCTAATATGCTTTTAGATAGGAAAAAAAAAAGCCAACATATCTTTCACGCTCTGATCTAACAAAAAACTAACGCTTATTGTATTGGTAAACTCCAAGCTGTCTTGCAAGAGCATTAAGCCGCCCATTCTATCGGTTTACCGCCGTTTTAATTGAGAGTTTGGAAGATCGCTTAAGGGTTTGTAATTTAAGTAATGTAGGTTCATTCCCAGTATTTAAGTAGACGCGGTGAGGGTTACTGCACTGGTAAACCGATAGAACTGGGGTCTGTTGGATATCAATTCTCAAGGGGTTTCCATATTTTGTGCATTTTGTACGTGTAAATGAACAAGACTTCACAGTACACAACGTAGACGGTTAAAGAGGGAACAGTTTTCGATTCATATCAAAATTAATCATATGCTTTGTAGGTTTAAACCTCAGGAAAATCTGCAATACCGTGAATAATAAAGAGGGTTACCATTTTAATTGAAGGATTACCTAATTTAAAATTTTTCAATACACTCGAGAAAGGTAAAGCTTCACATGATATCTTCCTGTCTTCTCGGTTGCGATGTCTTTATTAACGTGCACATTGCAATTTCGAAATCCGCATATTAGTAGCGTTATTATCGTTCAAGATTTATTGTATGCCTGTGCGTTACAAATCATTTTAACGTTAAAATCTCGTGATTTGAAATTTTGAATTTCCTCTACCTTGATATACCAGTCTAATTGTTTATTTTCACTACTTCGGCATGAGCCATTAGAAAAGTGATGGGGAGGGGTGGGGCGAGAGCAAACACATACGAAACACATTTCCTACTACATGTAAGCTGTTAAAAGGAAAAGTATGCTCACGACTGCCACACAGAAAAACTGCCCAGCTGATCCCTCTGGATCCTAATGCACAAATTTCTCCAATCATCAGCAGCACAATTTGAGCAGCAATGGTATTAAAGATTCAGAACTCGTATCGTACAAAATATGTTACAGAAACAAACACCAGGGACGTGCATAGTCGATTTACGGAGGGGTTTTACACAACAAATTAAGACACACGGACGGTTCTAAATATTGGACTTTTCTATAGCTGGTGCATTTATTGTTATTATTATTATTATCGTAATTGTTATTATTTCCAATAACACTACTACTTTGGAAGGTACACCTCAGTGTTAGCTTTACTTTACCTCTTATCGTTTCGTTGGTTTTCCTGTTTGGTCGAAATTATTGGCCTTATGTCACCCTTGTACTTCGAGGTTCTTATTCCAGGGCCAATCTTTTTGCCTAAAACTCGCGTGATGCGCCTGCGATTTCGTATATTTAACATTTTAGAATTTGGGCTTAAGCGTTGAGCGTGTGGTAAGGTGAAGCTAAGCCAGATTAATAATCACCAGAGCACTGTTATTAATATTACTTAGTAGTTATTTAGCAGAATATGGATAGTGTCTTTCTTAATTGTTGATCATTTTCATTCCTAATCATTTGGTCATAAATCTCGAATTTGATCTTCAAGAAGTTTTCTGTACTGATCGAATCCACCATCTTGTCTGATGATAGAGCCATTGGAGCATAACCAGACTTCTTTACATACATTTCTAACAAGTCTCTCGTCATGGGTAACCATTATTACCCCGCCCTGCAAAGAGGTGAAAATGTGTTTATAAATTTGGCAACAACAAGCGCAAAAACTTGTTAGAGTAGTACTGAGGCTTTCAAAAAGGAATGTTTATGACTTTCACTAATAAAGAAATCCCAACATGAAAGAGTTTGAAAGGTTACAAGCTTAACGACAACGATTACATGAACAGACAACTGTGAGAAAAAAAAAGAGAAAGGTACCTTATAATTGTTCAGAGCAACTCCAAGAGCCTCTATAGTCTCCACATCTAAGTGATTTGTGGGTTCGTCCAGAATGAGAAAGTGTGGTCTGTAAATCAAAAGAACAACACTAAAATGAAGACTCGGGAGAGGATCATTTAACAGGTTTCAAGAAACAGTATTATGCAGCGTAGCCTTCATTCGGTCATCGTAACACAATCCCCTGAGCTTTGCGTGGAGAACAAACAACATGAAAAGCTGTACCTTTCAATGGTGAACGATAACCTATATGTATATACTTCGGTTTCAAAAGTTATCTAAACAGTTCTTTGAAATACTACAACAACTGATAAGTTAATTTGGTATCATCACCTGAGTTGATAATGTAAATTGGAAACTGTTAAGTTCCAAAACTGACGTTTCGAGATTTAACCCTTCGTTTCGCTCCTTGTTATACTCTCCCGCCGACGCAGCACCACAGTTTGTTTAGAAACTTACCCCCTTTACATAGAAAATGATATACCTCGATCCAAATATATCATATTCTACTATCTTGACCCCCAAAGGGGTTACCACAGAACTAAGGTCTTTGTCTAGATTATTCAGTAGTATTGGAATCGTTTACTCATTTCGTGATCATTTAGGAAGCACAACTGTACTCATTTGCCTATCCCTCGACATCAGTTGGGTAAACAACTAGCTTTATTCTAACCTTGTAATATTTTCCTATCCCTCAACATTAGTTGGGTAAACAACTAGCTTTAATCTAACCTTGTTATATTTGCCTACACCTCGACATCAGTCGGGTAAACAACTAGCTTTAATCTAACCTTGTAATATTTATTTTATTTTCCTATCTCTCAACATCAGTCGGGTAAACAACTAGCTTAAATCTAGCCTTGTAATATTTGCCTATCCCTAAACATCAGTTGGGTAAGCAACTAGCTTTAATTTAACCTTGTAATATTTGCCTATACCTCGACATCAGTTGGGTAAACAACGAGCTTTAGTATACCGTTGTAATGCTCATTATGGACGTACGCACACGCCTACTCTGTGCACAGTTTACAGAAACAAAGGTCACACATTATGCTTCACCACATATCTGCCCTGACGATATCTTAAGGACATGCGTACCTTATCATACTCATAAGAGCCATGACTACCCTGCTCTTCTGACCACCTGATAAACTCCTCACAGGTCTGATAGCCAAGTCACCAATGACTCCATATCGACCCAGCTGACGGCGGTACTCTTCCTCATGCTGACCTGTGTGATGTAATCCAGTACATTCGACTTATTCGTGACCTTTTCACAACGAACAAACCCAACAGAACGACCCAACAATTAAGACGGATCAACACTGACTTATCATGACCGACTTAAGCCAATAACATAACGGGAAACCCTGACAAATAAGTTTACACGAACTGGACTAAGTACACTCGACTGACCACTACTCGTCGCTCAACTCTGATGACGACTTCCACTATAGTTGAGGAAAAGTCAGTCACTACTACCGACAACAGTCCTTGTCAGGGCTTCTCTCACACGGATGATCGGACAACACGATGAAATGAAAAAATGAAAGTACAGGTTAACTCCTATTTTCTTCTGTACCTGGAAATTTAGAGGCAAGCAAAGCCAGTGGAGTAAGTTCTGAACCAAGTTGATCAACGTGATGTTGACTGAAATAACCAATCTTTAAATTCCTATGAAACAAAAATACCCAACAGTCAGGATCCGTTCCAAAACATAAATGTTTTTATGTTCCAGTGAAACTTAAATCACGGGGGACGAAGTTTTGAACTAAGAACTTTCCGGAGATATTTCTAGCAACTCTTTTACAAAATACCTTGACAGTCCTCCGAAATAACATGCCATTCTTACCCTTAAAAAATTTCTTTGTTCTCAAATAAAATAAGTGTTATTTTACCGAGTGGCACGCTAGTTATGACTTCAAACAACACGTTCGTTAATTTTAAAAAAATTAGTCTTCACTAAATATTTTAGACTGTCATTAGCAGTTCTCCATCCTCCCTCCTTTGTTTTATTCTTTTCCATTCATTGTTAATCTAACGAATTAAATCAATTATTTTGACGTCCCCCTTAAATCGAAGTTTTTTCCACCCCAGAAAACTATGAAAAGAAAAACGCGACGTTAGATCACATCTTCACCTGTGAGCAAATTTGAGTCCAGACACTGGCTCCAGGTCTCCTCGTAGTAATTTCAAAAACGTCGTTTTCCCTTGGCCATTTTCACCGACCTGCATGATAATGGAAGAAGCAGTGGAATTGAAAAAAAAAGAGTCAGTCTACATAGCGCAGTTTTTATCTCAAGGAAACTAGATGATAAGTTGGTCAGAATATTGGTTCTCTTCTAGTTAACGAGAAGCAAGCGGCGTAGGATACTCTTAGAAATTCTAGTAGAAAATAGCTTGTTAAATGCTCCAGCAAAGTGTCTATGTGATTCAGGAAGGGTCAACTTACCAAAGCTATTCTCGACTCTTGATTTGCAGAAAGGCTCACTTTATTGAGAACCACTTTTCCTTTTTCGTAATAGAAAGTCACCTGAAGGAAACGAAACAGTGAAATTTCTCGTTACGCTTCAAGCTGATTACATAATGAGACGGTAACAAGAAAAAGATTAAATGATCACTGGGGCCGGAGAATGTTTTTTTTTTTTGCCACGCTTTTTTTTTTTCTAATAAGACTTGATTTTGTAGAGAGCGGTCAAAAAAAATATAGCGAAATCAAGGAGAAAGTCTAACTCTACAGAAGGTCTGAATTTTGATGTGGACAATTCAAGACTTTTGGCACTCTTATAATGATTTCCAGTGCAAGATGCGAGTTTCTCCCTAGTAGCACTAAGGGTTCCCTCTCTCCTACAGCAACCACATCGCAACACAGCACGCAATATAAGGTATGAACAACATAAAAATACACCTTATTTGTAGTGTAGACAACATATCGAAATCAACAATTATATTGTATTGATGGAAAACAGACAGCTTAACGATACCTCATCCAGTTGCAGTAGCGGAGGGGAGAGTTTTTCACACTCGGGAAATCTGAAGCAAAAACGTAATGCATCAAAACAACTGGAAAACCTAATATCAAAAAGAGCCTATCAGTATGTTCCTTAACGTTGGTCTCAAAAAAATTGTTTTGATTTCCCAAACAGGAATGAGTGAAGGAATGGATGCCGATCAAGTAGAAGCCATGAATCAGAGACCACAAGGCATTCGCTGGGAAAAAGAAAAAAAATAAGCTTACTGTAAGCTAACAGTAATTTTTGGACTTACTTGAGTACCACGGGTGGGTCGACTACAACTGGTTGCAGATCAGGTCTAAAAGGACATAAATAAATAGCAACAGTTACTATAATATGACCTCTTAAACAAAAGTACCAGTCGAATTAGACACTCGACGTGTTTTCGAGCATCATCTAACCTGTGCCTTACTGGAAGCTCGTTGTACCTAATAGAAACGTAATCAGACTTTGCAGTCCCAACTCAAAAAAAACTTATAAAAGAGCTTGATCACTGGACTTACAGCTTCTCCAGAGCCTTCAGTCTGCTCTGTGCGAGAGATGCTCTTTTAGCGTTATATCTCCATCTGTCAACAAAGGCCTGGAAAAAAAATCCAGAAAAGATCAAGCATCAGTTGCTGGCGGAGACGACAAAGGGTCCTAACTTACTGCCCGCCCTACTTTGCACCTCATCTCTACTGACTGGACGCCTAAAACAGCCCTATAATGGCCTGATTCTTGAGGTAAAGTAAACAGTGTTCCAATCGTATTAGCTTTAGAAGGTCTCCAAACACGTTTTACCAGCCACATAAGGTCCTTTTTCAAAGATTCTATGTGCCCTCCTGGTATATCAAGCCAAAACGACGTAAAAGCTGTTCTTTAACTAACCTGAAGATGTTGTCTGTGCATTTGCTGTGCTTCGTACTCTCGCTGCTGATTGGTTAGTTTTTCAGTCATGGTTTTGACAAAATTCTGAGAAATTTAACAAAGAAAAAATGATGAGCTCGCATGTACGACAAATATGATTTATTTTTTGTATAATTTTTTTTTCTTATCGAAACACTGAGTGAGTGCTGCTAAGTGATAATGGTGGAGAAAGTATAACCATTAAATTTAATATTGCACCGTCTACATAGTTACACCGTGGCAAACAAACAAACAAACGAAAACAAGGCATAAACTCGCTGATAGAGAAAAATGTTGTATACCTCATAGTTTCCTCTATACGACTCCAGTCTCTGGGAGTGCATGTGAATTATGTCGGTAACGACAGCGTCAAGGAAAGTACGGTCATGGGATACCACGAGGAGAGTGCATGGCCAGTTCTACCGACAAAATACAGTCACGTGTTATATTGGTCTTGGGATTCGTGTATTAGTAAGAGTATCATACCGCAGACCATCCACTGCAAGGGAACTTATTAGACTTCGAAAAGAGTACCCTGGTGTCTCATAAATAGAGAAGCACCCTGAGTGAAACTTTGGAACCAAATATAAGTATAAAGCAATTTAAAGAAAAGAGTTCCACTTCTAATCATTCAGGGCCAAAGTCTATGTCCCTTGAATGTAGCTTCTAATTAATTACACTGTCTTACACCCTGTAAAGTTATGAATGAAGGGTTTTCTTCTCACCAGAAGGTATTTTTCCAGCCATAGAACGGCCTTTAAATCCAACATATTCGTAGGTTCTACACAAAGTTAAAAAAAAAAACAGTAGCCATAGCAGATAATATGAATAGTTATTAACTACTTCTTCTCAACAAGGCAGTTGTTCATCCATAACAAGTAGCAACACTGAAAAACAAAACCACATCTGTCAAAGCAGCCCTAAAAAGAGCTGTTTTTGGCGACATCAGCGGCCGTTTAGAAAAGGTTAAGAGAAGTCCTTATCAGACTGGAGTCGATTGAGAAGTTGCTTGTTCGTTTTTATGGACCATACTTAACGTATAGGTCAAATAATAGAACACTTATGCAAACACCAAACAAAAGCAGTATTTTTCATTAAACACGTGCTGAAAAATGCATACCGTCACACGCATTTACGCACATTTTTGGTTTTGGTTTTTGTTGCTCTCCTGACTTAGCCTTTCCCAAAGTGTTTCGCAAAACAAATAACACTCTACAAATTTAAACTAAAACGCTCCTTAAAGGACGTTGAAGGGAATTATGAGGATTGCAACATTGCATTTTGTGAGAGCAAAACATGGATTCTTTGACATTAGCAAAAATTAAACTCTTTACCCATGTAACAATGAAATTCTTACCGTCAAGGAGTAACAGATCTGGCCTGCAAACAAATGGCACATATATCAAATGAAGCCATGACAACAAACGTAAACATATGCTTACTGCCCAGGGACTCACAACTGTTTTCATCTGAGAAAAACACATCATATTGGACTGGACTCGTTTACAATTCTAAAATATGATTTTCTGGTAAGTTAAGTCAAGAGTTGGTTTGACTGAAGAGCTGCATAGTTGAATGAAACTAACCTAAGTTAAACCTTTGAGAAATCTTCGGCTTTATGACAAATTTTAATTCTAAACAGTTTCTCCTTATTTTATTGTAACGAGTTTTTGCTGAAAAAGTTTCATTCTTGAGCTGTCACTAATATCTTGAGCACAGAACTATAATACATTGAGCTATAGAGTCATTGTCATAAAATTAAGTTGGAGAGAGAGTTTAATATAAAAATTGAGTAATTTTCTTACCTACTAAATAGTGTTCTCGCAAGAGCAAGCCTCATTCTCCAACCACCTGACAGTTCTCTAAAACAAATGAAAACTTTTCATTATGTAAACACAAAACTAATTGAGTGAGCATTCACTCTTCATCAGCTGTGCTGTTCAGTTGATTATTATTCAAAAATCTCTGATTTCTCTGTTGGCTTCTTGTAGTCCTAAAATACTGTACACAGAACTAATTCTGAGCATTAATTACTCAGCCATGAATTCAGTCTAATGCTAAAGCAAATGCATAATCATTTTATTAAAAGTAGAGTAGAATGATGTTGTGTATACTGTACTTCGTTTGCTGATTCTGCATTTTTGTTGAAAAACCCAGTCCGGCCAGTATTGATGAAGCTCTGTAAGTGCAATCAATTAGTATTAAAGTTGAGTTACCAAGATGTGCATAGTATCACAGACCAAAGGGTCACCAACAAAGTGGAAATGTTCAGAACCAAGGAGCTATGAGAAAATTTTCTTTGGTCACAACAAGAAAGGAAAAGGGAAGACTTTTCCTAAAGCTTTACACTGCATATTAAAAAAATTTAAATACTGACCTTGCAGGAGCCTTGTCTGCCTCTATTTCCTGCATCCTTGCATAAACCTACAGAAAAAAAAATAAAGTGATATACTGGTATTATAAATAGATATATGATATGCTCTTCATGATATGAAACTTTGTGTAATCAAACTCAATGAGGGAATTTATTGCACTTGATAATTACTTTCAACCTCTTGGTTCTCTATTGGTCCATGGTAAATTTGAATGCAACAACTTGGCAACAATTCTCCCAATTTCCACTCAATTTCAGGGTAGAAAATCAAATAAACTTTTAATTTGTAACTTTGTAACTGATCATTAGCTACACACCAGAAAAAAGAAAATTATACAAGATAGCTGCTGTATATTATACACCATACGAAAATGAAAACATCAAAATGTGAGTACCTGTGCTAATCTGCTACTAGTGCTGTCAGATGTGTCAGACTTAGGACTGCAAAGAAATGCAACAATAAATGTGTTGGTCAAAAGCGTTTTGAAATCAATCAAAACACTTTGTGCCTTCCATACCCTGACAGTGCAAGAAGTTTCCTCTCTTCCTGTAACAGGTTTTCTCTTTCTGTATCACACTCCAAAACACTCTGTAGAACTTGTGTTTCATCACCTTTTACCTGTAGTTAAATAGTTACAAACTTCAAATCCTTTAGAAAAAAACTAATTTTCATAATGCAGTTGGTTCATTTGAATAACTGAACTCTTTCAAAAGTCTTACTAACCTCTTGTTGTACACACAAAATAGAAATGTGAGAGGGAACAAACAACTCACGCCTGTGCGCAAAAAGACATCAACAATGTTAGTTGTAATCATTTAGTTTTGATACCAACATACAGTCTCTGCAGAAACCCAAAAAACTCTTGCTATTGTCCATTTAAAATCATGAAATAAAGGTTCAGTTTGTAAAGAGCACAATAGTTTACTTTTAACTTCCAAATCGAAAAGAACATGTGACTAATCAACAACCATACAAATCTGTTATAATTGTAAATTGATTGGAAAGAAACTTAATCACAGAATGAGAATTTCTTGGCAATTAAAGTTAATAATGGAAATTAATGTAATCTAAAAAGTTAAGTAATGAAGAAGTAAACTTCTAATTTCTTATTAACTAATTAAAAATGGGTTTCCTATGGCAAAGGCCTTGATTGAGGTGTAGGCTTAATACAGGTTAATTGAGAGGAAAACTGTGACATGACCCTGTGATCTTTTAGTGCAAGGTATCTTCTTAATATGGGTTGTGCTATCTATAAGTTTAAGTGCATCTCTAAACAATCAAAGTCTGCCTAATGTAAGAAAAACCATTCCTAATGGATCATATCAACAAACTTCTCATAAGCATATAAATAATTATAAAATGTACCTAGAGAGCATTGTAATCAGTGTTGTTTTTCCAATTCCATTCCTACCCACCAAACCATATCTCCTGCCAAAAATTAGGGACAAATCTGCCTCTTTCAGTAACACCCTAAGGATTTTCAAAGAATGAGCTAAGAATGAGCTATATATCTAGTAGGTATTAAATAAACCAACCTTGCACATGAGAAAGGTTTTGCTAATAGTTAAAGGGGGTCTTTGTTACAGCAATAGCATCCCAACAATGACAAATTTCATTTCAGGCTTTCTTTTTACAGCTGCACACTCTAGTATTTTTACATAACATAAATGCAATGATCTCTCTCAGTGAGATTTTTTTGATTGGCAGTTCAAATATCCGAAAATATCTAGAACACATTATTTAATAATGCAAATAAACAAACACTGAGAGAATAGTTACAAAAATTAATTCTGAAGCTACCAGTAACATGATTGTCAATGTCAGCAGCAACTATTACACAAAACTAAGCAACATTTTAAGATCTAGTAAGTGGTGTTCCCTACCCTGTGCCCTCACTCCTACCAACCAAACCCTTGCCCCAACATGAAAGGATATTAGTACAGACAAAAAAGAGTAACTGTGTACTAAAATAAATTGCTTAGTAATTAGCAATTATTTACCACTTACCTTTCAGCATAGGAAAGATCAAAGTTCTCTATTCTGATATCACAACTTTTATTACTACCACTGGCTTCTAATTTGTTTTCCCTTTTGTTTGAACTCTGGCTAGCTGATGCATTGTCTATTTGTCTACAGACAAAAAAAAGTATTTAGCTTCAATTGATCTTTCTCTTTCTATTAGCATTTAAATTCTTGTAACCATGCTGTAAATCAAAATCAGTTTCCATATCTCATCCTGTTAATCATTTTTTGCTTGCATTAAATACATTTACAACATGGACTAAATACAGATTACATCAAAACTTGTATGCACGAGTTAGGAATCTGATGTGATTTCAGGATAAATTCAAACTTTCTCCTATAACCATAACAAAACATACATGGCACAAACTTCCTTTGAGTAGGGTTTTTCCAAGTTCTAATGCACAGTGTAGATGTTGTACAATTTTTCTACATGTAAGGGAGGAAAATCTTACCTTCCTCTAATTTCATTGATAGGTTCATCTTCTTGTGCACGTTTTTCCTGTTTTGCTTTTAACTTTGCTTCAGCCTTTTGCAGTTTCTTCTGATCCACAACCTAAGTTAACAACAAAAACAGCTTTCTCATAGAGTAAAACAGCTGGGGTCCTGGTAAGGCAGCTTGTCAGTCTTCCTACTTTTAAGGGCTGTGTGGGGCCATGAATGCAGTGTAGGGCTACCAGTATATGTTTCTTTGTGCAGCAGTGTATGTTCATTGTACTTACTGTGTTGTTTTCCCTTTTAACAATCCAAATACTTGATGCATCATCATCTCGCTGTGTTTCTAAATATTAATTTGAAAAGAACAAAGAGAAATGCATTTCACAATAAAACCATATTCCCATTAGTTAAAAAGTTTGTTGATCACATGAATTATTCATAACATTAACCAGTGATTGTATACATGGTATGGAATTCATGGTCACAGGAGTCTCACAGTTATGTGTATACTTTTGATAGTTTCTGCCAGTTCTTGTTCACCACACCTGAACACTAACCCAATTTTTTTGCCATTTCTTGCAGATTAACAGGAGCATGGAGTAACTTATGGGCATTTTGATCTGTGTCAGTACCACTGCAACCATCACTACAAAAAGTGAAGAAAAATTAATACGAATGTAAATGTATAAGGTACTGAGACTTTTTGCTATTTAGTGGAGGTGATGCTGATAAAATTTAATACTATTTCAGTAAAATTAATTTGACAATTAATGGTTACAGCATTGGTCTGAAATAATAATTCAAAATAACTAAAAGAAAGAAACCTATTAAAGTACATACCCTTTCAATGTGTTTAACAGCTGATTACACAAGTCAATTATTTCATCTTCTCCTTCATCGCCAGCCACCTCAGCCAATATACTTCCAACGGCATCATAAATATCCTCGCCACTCTCAAAATCATCCACTCCACTTTCGAGAATATCTATTTAACAATCGGTGAAAGTTAACTTATTTTGATCCATGAATGGCCAAATTTCCCTCTGACAAAGTATCCGGTGTGTAAATAACTCTCAGGATCATTTGTAGGTACGAGTCTGACCGCTTGACATTAGAAAAGCTAAGTAACTTGAAAGCCTTCATGTAATAACCACTTACAAATACTTTTTCAGGTAATAAAGTTATCCTCGATCTAAAACCAGTTACGCATATATAAACATACCAGAACGATTAAATGAGAAATCCTTCGATCACACATTCTATTTCACTAAATTAAAACAAAGTGAACACGCAATTGTTGCCCTCTATCCCAACAGTCAGTACTTCTACCAAATTATGACTCGGCAGAAAAGATCAGTAAAGTTAATACCTGTCACATATTTAAAAAGTTCGTCGTCGATTGCCGGAAATTTGTCTGTAAGAATTCGCCGGCAGGTAGCAAGTCCGTTCGCCATGTTGTTTCACCATCAGCTGAGCCCGCAAAAAGAAAGCGACAGAAAAGAAGTTGCACAAGCGAATATGTCATGAGATACATCGCGAAAATTCCTCTCTAGTTCAGAAGGGGACTGTTCTGAGGCAATACTTATCAAAGATCTCCATGTTAAAGCCGGGTACGGGCAATAGTTACATTCGTTCCTTAAAATTTTTCAGCAAGATATCGTAATTAATGCATCTCCGCCTCGTTCTATAGTGGATAACTCAGGGTGGTGTACGCCGGTAATCCGAGTGGTGACCCCATCGGCACGGAAAGAAAACTGACACTTTATAGAGCAACGGGACGAGACACTGACATTCATCTGATAAATTTATGTTTTAGCCTGCTTCTCTGCCTACACGTCAAAGAGAATACTTTTGAGATTACAGCCGAGGCATCGAAAGATTATAGCTGATGCAGAAGACAAATGCTGAAGGGGCCGGCAAATCAACACATCGGTAAATGTAAACGAAACATAACAAGGTAGAAGATCCGATCAGGCCGAAAGTGAACCAGTCAAGAAAGCAATCCAAGACCCTGGATCGAAAGGACAGCTCTACTGGAAAAAAAGAGGTGCCATGTCCCGCAAATTGAGAAAATGGAAAAAATTGCATTTCAATTTACTTTTATCGCTTTTGAACTCTGATTTGTGAATATGCCTAACAGAAATGAAGTTCCTTTGGTCCGTTCTCCTGTTTCGATCTGGAGTTCAGCACGATGTCTCCCACGTTTAAATTAAGCATGTTTATTATCTTTTGAGTATAAGTATGTGGTGACAACATGTTACAGAAAACATTAGATTATAATTGAGTTGAGGCAATTCACGCTGGTAAACTTCAGAGAGAGAGAGAGAGAGGACAGTGTATTATGTTAAACTAAATATCAAACGATATGTAACTGAACCCCTATGATTTATTCTATAACATTTTATTGTGGTTGGCCTAACAAATGAACACGGACCACAAAGAGTTAATGGGTTTCAAAGAAGCCTACGATGTCGTCTACCCTCAGAACTCAGCTTATTCCGTTTTAGAGTCGACAGTGTCTTAAACACTACTCTCCATCACACCCTGTGACTCCAGGCAGTACCGAGTACAGAGATCTTCTGTGTCTGACTCCTCTTCCATTAGCGTCTTCAACGCCATTCCAAGAGCATCATATGTGGCACCACTACCCTGAGCCCCTACCCAAGTACACAGTGTAGCAAAGCACTTGTCAAACAGGCTTGTTTTATCGCGCTCAATATGCTCCCGATGTTTTTCGTTTAGCAGGATGCGGCACAATTGCTCCCACTTGTTACCGACATCATGCGCCAGGCGCAGTTGATCATCATGAGACACCACACCAGATTTAAACTGCAACTGGGCTGTAGGGATAGTAAAAATTGGTTTACTAACACAGTTTGGGTAATTCAATCGTTTTACTCAAAAAGATGAGTAAATAGGCCATCTAATCAACACGGGACATGGAAATAATATTGACATTCAGTTGAATGGAAAAATTAACTGTCAATTTCAACATTCTGGAATTACTTTGGCTAGCTTTGAGCGCCACCGGCTCAAATTCAAAGGCAAAGTGCATTTTTCAAATGTGTCATTAATCAGGGCTTTGTGAAAGTCTCATCCATGCAAAGCAAGAGAGTTGTAATAATTAATCCCCAAATAACAAATTATTTACCTGGATTCTGATTTGTGCAGCGTAAATACTATTGAACAAAAATAAATAAATTCATTAAACCCAGATCTGGATAAAGAAAATGACCAAGCTTTCACGTTATACATTTCAATCCAATCAACAAAATCCACCGTCTTGTAACTCAAAATCGTTCTGCAGAAAAAAAGTCTATCTAACGGTAACCAGGCAACTGATTACACAAACTAGGATGATTTATGATCACCTCCAAGACCAAGATTATACAATCAATCAAAACTAAGGCTATACAATCAAACAACAAATCAAAATCACTGAGTCATTCACTAAATACATATATCAATTCAGATATTTCTAATGAAAAAAACTACAAACGGCATCTAAGTTTCTTTTGTATCACACAGTGACTTTGGAAAACTGTTGTGTCTTGATGGATGGTGTTTTTCAAAAATGTCAAACTTGATGTTCTTAATGAACAAATCATGTGGTCCACTCTTATAATACCACCTTGTCCAAGTCTCCCAGATTTCGCTTTTTCCCATCACCACTAATCCCCCCCCCCCCCCCCCCCCCCCCCCAACACCTATTTAGTAACTGAACACATACTAGAGGCCAGTCCAAAATCCCTCTCTTTTCCATGTAATTTTGTGCAGAGAAATTCGGTTGACTTTGGTCACATTACCTAATCCTGATTATTGGTCAACTGAATCGTTAATAGTTCCCATACCTTAACCCAAGGCTTAAGTTTTTCCTCGCTGAGCAAACAACTTGATGATCTGTAGGTTCTGTCACACATCAAAGGCTTTGATACTAAAGGAATGAAGTGTGAACAGTCAGGATGAGGACATAAGCGTGCACGATGCAATGAACAGCCCTCGGGATCTTCGTCTTCACCCATACAGAGGTCACATCGGGCACACAGCTCCCACTCCATGGAGTGTAACCACGGATGCTGCACACAAAGAGATTTCAGGGTACGTTCTACAGTACTGAAAAACAAAGCAACTTTAACAAAGTAAATCTGCACCACTTTGTCACCGACGAATTTTTAGACGAGATGTTTTGGCTTACACTATTTCTGTTTAACGCTCACTATAGGATACGAATTGTATGCTGAGCCTGTGTTTAAACACTCAATATATCTCCTATACTAAGTTGTTAACTCAGAATAAAATACTCACGCTACTCACTCTTTGAACCACACCAGTTCTTTTTCAACGAAAAAGCTCCTTGGTATCAGTTTAAACAGAATGCGAGGAACAACCTTCTTTGTACTTGTGTATCATATCATTTACAATAGTGTGATTTACGAATTGAAACATTGTTACTTCAAATGTTTATCAGTATAAAAACTGGAAAGGGGGACTCAACTAAACTTCCCGTTTCCATTGCTATTTTTAATTTCTTATGTAATGCTTTAAAAATTACGAAGAGTTGATCATACAGTCTGATCTTCCAGTTGAGAGTTCAGACGTTGTGCTCTAACAGGACTGATTCGCATTTGATGATGAATTTTTTGCTCATGTGAAGTACAAGATTCCGAATTAAATTTATTTTTGCACATCACCAACCTGCAAATATGTCGGCAGATGGAAGCCGTTTCTCGTCCATCCTCAAACTTCCCTTCAAAAACCAGATGAACCGTTATGACACTCTTAAAGCAGGCTAACGTCAAGTTGTAGTTGCTTTGCTGGCCGACGACAAATCGAGCTGCGTTTGCGAAAAGCTTCGGTGGCGTGGCAGGACACTCGGGAGAACTTTGTTGACCAAATAACACCAGGAATCTGCAGAACACGCCATAAGGTACATATCCAGAGGAAAATTTTATGTAAATTGGAGCAAGCTTCCCTTGACCAATCAGTACAGATATATCTTCGTCTGGTTTAGCAGTCAGCATCGAGGGCACGAGATAGACCACTTTGCCATTTTGCTCATTCCAGTGGCAGATGAGGTTGCTTTTTTCCATAATTAAAATTAGCATTTCTTGGGAGAGTTCAAGTTTAAGTTTCTTACATGTATTTTCAATAAGTTCTTTAGACAAGATCCCATCTTTAGCAAGAATCCGGCGATGTTCCCGAATTTTCATCGTCTCTCTCTTGCCGGGGACACTTCTAAGAATTTCACAGAATACACTGATCAGCCATTGCGGGTCGAGTATCACCAGACTGTTGAACAGATTCGACTCGTCTTTAAAGTAGAGAACTGCGCCGCAATCGCACAAGAAATGCAACAATTCCTCGCTATCTTCTTCCACTTCGAATTGGCAAATTTTGTTAGAAACTTCCCTGAATTCCATTCTGGTGATGTGCTTGTATCCTTTGCGGGCTAAGTGATGAAGTAACTTCTCAACGTGGAGCCACTGCAACGGTATGAGTTGCTTGGTGTGAGGCAATGTTGACGCCACCGAGATAATTTTCTCTCTGAGTCTCTGGACATTTTGATCCTCATGTCTAAAAGGCTGTCCAGCACGAGTGTTGTCGACAACAAATTTGTCGTCGACGATATGGGATGAAAAGGCCTTGCCTTCAAAACTCTCGAGGATCTTATTCATGGCATCCCATGGATCTCCAGTCACTTTATCGGCATGGGTACCGACCAAGATGACTGGGGGTTGGGCAAAACCCTGAGGATCTACGGCATTATGGGTAGGATTCCGAAAAGAATGAACCAAATCCATCCACTTCATGAGATGATCAAGACTAGACTCGCCCTTAGTCGCTGTCCTGACCCCCGGCTGTTTGGTTTGCTTTGCACAGTTATCTGCCCTTTGTAACAAGTCTTTGCTCAAGTCAGACACAAGTAGATACACAGCTTCACGCGACATAAAGATGGGATGTAAGGCGTGATACAGGGATTGGCCTGCGAAGTCCCAGATCACTGGCCATATCTGATCTGCACCAACTGAGTGATTGTCTTGTTGAAGCATACGTTCTACCAAGGTCATGACCTCCTGTGACAGATGACGGAAAGGTTCGGGGTCATTGGCGAACACTTCATCTTGGAGGACTGGTGAGGTGGGTTCTCCAAGAATATTTTTCTCCCCCGCTGATAAAAAAAAATATTTGAAAAGCAATTTGAGTCAAACAACTCCTTCCACATCAACATGATGTTACACTAACTTCAATTGCACACGATAACCAAGTAAAGACGTCTAGCCCAAAATTACGAACACTGTACACGGTTAAGCATAATAATACAAGTTTAACTTGGTACTGGACCGTCATATTTGACTCACCTCGCTTGATCAAGGGGTTAAATTGCTATTCAAAAGATAAAATTTGGGGTCACAAAACCAATCAACAATGTCCGCCGAATAGAGATCTTTCGGGACCGAAGTTGATCGAAGACGTTTAACATTACTCTAAATCTGGCCCTGGTTGTTTAAAGCTGGGTTAAG